TTTTTTTCTTTTTTTTTTCTTTTTTTTTTCTTTTTTTTTTCTTTTTTCTCCTCTTTTTTTTTTCATTAGCAGGCTGTAAAGGGACAAAAGAATAGCTTTGTATCAGATTCCCTCAATTAAATGTAAAGTACATCTGGACAGAGCCTGAAGATCCATCTTTCACTGGCAGTTGCAAAGCCATCGACATAATAAAATAATACTCTGATTGGTATTACAAGGCTGCATTTAAATCATTGGCATTCATGCTCTGTGTCCGTTGCAGGGAGCGCAAGCCCTCCATTAGAGAGAAGCTTAATTTTATACTGTGATCTGTGTAAGATATGCAATGAAAATGAGAGGGGGAAAAAAGCTTTTTCAGAGCTGGAGACGTAATAATAGGAGGCACAATGAATGTCTGGGCAGCATTTGCAGTTACTTATAAACTGCAGGTGTCAAATGCATTCTGGAAAGAAGCTGAATTCCAAGTTTTAATTACAGCCAGCAGGTTGAGGCGTAATTCAAGGCTCGATAATACCTTCAATTCATAGGAAAACTCCTCCTGCTATCAGCAAGAAGTTTACACCGAGATGAAGGAGAAAGCGTGACCTCCTCGCAGTAGCTAAACTCTCGACTTCTGCATCCCACTGTAAAATCCTGAACAGCCTTGGTGCTTACGGCGCCTGTTCCTTGTGCGATTATCTCAGCAAGCCTTCGCATCACACGGGAGCCGAACTGCTAACGCTCCTCTTGTGATCGGGATGAGAAAGATGCAGCATTGCAGCTTCCTTCTACCATTTCCCTTGGCTCAAATGTAACAAGTACAGCTGTTTCACACTGTTTGCCACCGTGGAGAAGCCCTGAGCACCAGCCAAAAGGAGAAACAGGCAGCTTTGGTGGAGCGGTCTTCCAAGGGGTACCAAGAGCTGCCTGGGAGCTGAGGGCCTATTCTGGGTGTCATGGAGGGCTGGAATAAACGGAAATCAGTGGAAGCGCTGACTTTCAAAATAGTTATATTTGTACTGACATCACCCACACATACAGAAGAGCTTTATGTCATCACCAAAGATGGCCCCACCAACGGCATACGCAACTCAGTACACAACACCTACACCTTCACAACACCCCTGTGAGGCAGGGCAGTGCCCTGAGCCCTATTTCACAGGTGGGGAGCCTCTCAACTGAGCAACAGAAAGTCTGTTGCAGAGCAAGAAGGAGAGCGTGGGCTTTCAGAGGGCAGCCACAGGGCTGCTGCTTTGTCAAACACCCTGCACTGCCAGCAGCTCCTCTGCTCCATCAAGGCCATTTCTCCTGTAAGCAAATGGCCATAGCCAGCAGGAGCAGGTGATGACAACTAAATCCTCACAGGTATAAAATTCATCTTACAGCTAGAACTGGGGAGAAAAAAAAAGACAACCTGTGAAAAGATCAATCTGACTTGTAACCAAATGCCAGCCTTAAGTGCCTACTACATTCCTAGTAACAAAATAAGTGCGTATCAAAAAAGTACTTTAAGTAGTCGTGACTTTTTATGCCTACCATCCTAGAGTCACAGAAAACAAGAAGAAACTGGAAGAACCCCGAGAGGGGTCAGGAGGCTTTTTCCCCAGCTCCTGTGATGCCTTGTGGTAGTGCCCTTTCAGTAGATGGAGCTTATGGTGCTAGCTTGGCTACAGGTGTCAGAGCTGTCCGATGTCACATCAGGACCAGCATCCGTGCCATCAGGATCTGCTTGATCTTTAGCAAAGTCGATGAAAACCTGTAAGTTTAAAGGATGACATTCAGTATGTGACAGTGCAAAGAGCTGATAGTGTGAATGAATAAGAACAGAGGAATGGCTGTACATTTGGCTGAGCCTGGAGAGCGCGCTCAGGAACAGATTCGCACTGCATTTGAGAACTGCAAATGTTGTGGGGTTCTTCTGGCTTAACGTAAGACAGTGGATGCATACTCCTGTACTGCTGAACGGACACCTGGGAATGCAAAGGTAGATGTCCCTGCAGAACCTAATTGTCCTGCAGCTCATGTTTCAAAATACTAGTGAGATAATACCCCCGTGTGGTAGTTCATTTTGATTACAGTGTAAGACATCTATATTATTACTTTATAAACCTATCTGTCTACATATAATTGACATCTATGCAGGCGCAGCTGCATATTATATAGGTAGGTATATATAATCACACATAACAGTCTGTTTGAACAGTATCTAATGAATACATAAAATATTCTTACTGAAGCACTACAGTCACATTTGCATACACAAAATCCGTGCCGTCCTCTCACAAAACATGACTTGGGGCTTCCTGCTGTTTGTCAGCTGGTTTCTCTCACAACTACTGCCCTCATTAAACAATATTGAGCATATCCCTTGTCCCCCTTTTCTGCTCAACAATTCATAGGATTACAGGGCTTGTTTTCTAACTCCTGTCTCTGGGGCAGACCTAACAGATCAGATACTGATGCTCAACAGACTGCTCTCCTGGATAAATCCTTATGAATCCCTTCATCTGAAGCATTTTCTACAAGGTTCAGATGCCAGTGGGAATGTTGTTCCAAGGGACAACGATAGGAACATGCCATGAAAGCTAAGTTTGGAGTAATGCTCCATGAACTTACAATCCAAATACAGTACAGGAAAGAACAAAATCAAGCAAATTTCCCTGACTGTCAGGAAAAATCTCTCACCAGGATGCCTAGCATTGAGCTGCGGGATGATTCATAATCCTGCCCTTCATCTTCATCCTTGAGACTGCCGAAATCAGCACCGACAAGGAAGAACAGATCTTTTATGTGACAGGCAGCATTCTGTGTGTTTTCCCAGTGCCAGCATGGCTATCTGGAGGCAATAGTACTGATAAAGTATCCCCAGGAGGAATATGGATGGAAATCCCTTTAAAATGGAGTCCATTGTGTGCAGCAGTCCATTATGTGCAACCATCAGTCTGCTCACTCCCCTGTTAACGGTTCAAAATGGATGGCCACACATCCTTACCTCCTCTAGCGTCGTCTGACTCACTGAGAAGTGCCTGATTTTGAAGGTTTCTTTGCTGGCTTCCAGGAGATCAAATATATTTGCTACCCCTCCTGCTGAGACTGGAACATGGTACTCCACCATGTTGAAATGACGATCCTGCAGAAACAACAATGATGGGGTAGAGTTAGGAGGCTGCCTGTGAAGAGCAAGCTGCCTCACTGGCTGTCTGGCTGAAGATGAAAGCACAAAGGAGCTAAACCAGGGGAGAATTTAAAAGACAGAGCATGCCTTCTGTCCTCTGGTTCCTAAAGGTGAAAATACTACTGTTTGCAGTTGATCAGTGACCATCTAATTACTAATATAAAGTGCATCTGCATACAGTCCAGGCTTCAGTGGAACCACTCAGAGGTGCAGAGGGTCACCAAACAGCTGCCTCACAAGATTGCTGCAGCTGCTTGGCTGAGGTTATTTAAGGCATCAAGGAACTTGGATAATCCAACCCTTGGGCAATGCTGCTGATAGCTGTAACAAGTGCATGTGCATGAATTTCTTACATTTTGAGAGCACGGATCTATATGTACAGCAAGTTACAAGACTTCTATCTTGCAAGATACTCCTGGTTAATGTGGAAGGACTCCCTTGAATGCAATTGTCCTGCTTACCTTCAGGCACGTATTTGGGAAGTGTGACTTCATGAACTCTGTCAGTGTCTCTGTGCCAACTGTGCTGCTATTTAAGTGCATCTTCACAGTGAATCCTCTTCCAAACCTAAGAGATAAGGAAAATCACAATTAACACAGTAAGAAAGAGAGACAGATAAAGAAAATCCCTTGAGAGTGCTGCACAGCCTCTTCAGGGAAATCTAATGCAGGCAGAGTGCAGCTTGAATGGGGTCAGGGTTGTTAACCTGGAGTGAAACTCAATAAGGAACTGGGCTGTTGTGATAACTAACAAAATCAAAGCTCAACCCTAACACGCACTTTACATTTTCAACAGTGAATTACTTTGGAAAACACATCTCTTGGAAAAAAGGCTGTGAGAGAGCAAAAAGCATGTTATTTAAATGAATTTCAGTGGTACAGTAAAGAACATAAAACAGAAAACTCCTTATTTTGATGCCTTGTTAACATTGTCTCATGTCCTGAGCCCTCTGAGCTGTGTTAGTAACTCCAAATGCCAATCAGTTGAAGTGGAGTGAGAACATTTTACAGACCTGCTCTTGATATGCTGCAAAGAGCCAATGCACTGAAAACTCCCATTCACCATAATTGCCAGCCTGGTACAGAGGGCTTCGCATTCTTCCATGCTGAAAAACCAACAGAGAAACTCTAATAAGTCATTGAGAAGGCATACAGAAAGCAATTATTTTGGTGATCAGAGAACAACACTGCATCTTCCTCAGGGTAGAGTGGGTCTATGTGGGCATCCCCATCCAACCCTAACCCCACCCAGCTGTCACGGCCCAGTGCCCTGAAATTCTCTCAGGATCAGCAAGGATTTGAAGGATGGACCTCTTCATATCTCTTGAAGACCCTGAAACTGACAAGGAAGCCAAACCAGCCCTACCTGTGAGATGTGAGTATCACGGAGCATTTGTTCTGCACTTCCTCACTGATGATTTTCCAAAGGTGGCGTTTAGCATTTGGATCCATGCCGGAGCTGGGTTCATCCTATTGGGAAAGACAAGGCTGCAGTGGGAACTCCCAACCTCCTCTGGATTCCTTACAAGAACCGAGTGGCTCTGATAACACCACCTAAGATCAACCCTGCTGTGCATTTTGTATCCTGGTGCTTTCCATTTCCACACACACCAGAAGTAGAGTCTCAACCAACAAGCATTTGATTCCCAGGCGAACCTGCATTCTGCTTCTCTTATATCCTGACAAAGTAAGTGTTCCACTTCTTCACTGATAGAGAAAATGAGCCAGAGATCAAAGACAATATATTGCCTTCTACTTTGTGCATTGCTGATGAAATTGTTAGCTGATTTCTGATGGCCAGATTGTTATTGTTAAGGGTATTGTACTATATGAGGCAGAAACAAACAGCTTGGGTTCGTGCAGCAGTCAACAGAGAGAAAATTTCCCCACCTTCTCTTTTTATTCAGATTTTGCATGTCACAAAAGTTATCAAATGGCTGGTCTGATCACTTCTGGCCACAGAACAGCTGGGCAAGATACAAGAGCAAGGAAGGCTTATGTTCACTAAGCCTCCTATTTAACACTGCTCTTAGAGCACTGAACATATTTAGAAACATTGAAGGCAATCATAGAATTCTTAAGAGTAAAAGGGACCTTTGAAGTTCATTTAGCCGAGCAACCCTGCAGTGAACAGGGACACCTACAGCTCCATCAGGTGCTCAGAGCCCCATCCAGCCTGACCTTGGGTGTCTCCAGGGATGGAGCATCCACCACCTCTCTGGGCAACCTGTGCCAGTGCCTCACCGCCCTCACTGTAAAAGACTTCTTCCTTATACCCAACCTAAATTTCCCCTCTTTGAGTTGGAAACCATTTCCCCTTTTCCTATCAAAGCAGACTCTCTAAAGAGTCTGTCCTCTTCTTTCCTGTAGCCCCCATTTAGACACTGACAGGACGCTCCTCAGAGGCCTTCTCTTGCCATGACTCGGGTACAAAACCTTGCTGTTTTTTGATTTGTTGAACCTCATGAGCTTCATCTAGGCCCACTGCTCAACCTCTGGATGGCATTCCATCCCTTGGGTGTGTCAACTGCACCCCACAGTTCTCCGCATTTAAAATACAGCAAGTGGAAAAACTCAAATGAAAGTATACTTTAGCAATGGAATATCTCATGGAAGAACTTAAAAGTTCAAAGGGAAAGAAAAATGGGGAAGCCAGATCTAGAAAAAAAAAGGGTTATGTTCTAATATTGAAAGTTGCTCCTTTGGTCTCCTATTGCAGCCTTGGCTGCTAATTCTTTTTGCAAGACTATGCAGGAGCACTAAAAAAATTTATCCAAAGCACTAAATCAAGAAAGAGCTGGGAACAAGGAAAATTTAACTGGCAAACAGAAGATCTACTTTTGACCTCTGAAAGATTCTAACACAGAAAATGGTATTCACTGCTCTTTATGATCTCAGGGAAAATGTAACACAGAATCATAGAATGGCCTGGGTTGCAAAGGAGCACAATGCTCATCTGGTTCCAACCCCCTGCTGTGTGCAGGTCACCAACCAGCAGCCCAGGCTGCCCAGAGCCACATCCAGCCTGGCCTTGAATGCCTGCAGGGATGGGGCATCCACAGCCTCCTTGGGCAACCTGTTCCAGTGCCTCAGCACCCTCTGGGGGAAAAACTTCCTCCTAAGAGGAAGAGCTGAGAAGAGGGGGACGATCACCTCCTTCTACCTGCTGGAAAATCAAATCTGTATGCTGGAATCTAAGCTTTCCTTTGATGCACATGCTGTCAGGCTACTTTATTCAGTTTGAACACTTGGGGAGTGTCCTGCAGCCCGTGTCTAGAAAGACCGTTCAAGTGTTCCCCTGGAGGGACACTGGAGACCTGCTCAGCTTTCACCCATCAAGGCCCCCATTTCTCACCAGCAGCAGAATAGATGGATTCCCAATGAGAGCCAGAGCAGTTGACAGTTTTCTGTTGGTGCCATAACTGCACATAGAGGTGACTCTGTCTTTGTAGGCCATCAGATTCAGCCTGTGGAGAAGCTGAAGCACGATCTAGGGGTGGAAGAGTACTGATTTCACAACAGAGTCCAGGAATTAATTACCAGTATACATATACATTGATGGCCTAGTTAAATCAATGTAAAGGCTCCTGACAACTAGAAAATGCTTCAAGTCAGGCCTTGGTGTTACTTACTCCTTTGATTTCTCTCTCTGGGATGCCATGGAGTCTAGCATAGTAATACATGTGCTCTTCCACTGTCAGCAAGTCATCTAAGGCATCTTCTTGAGGACAGTAGCCAAAGAGAGACCAGTGTGCCTCGGTGATGTCATTCAAGGACCTTTGTAAGGAATTAAGCGAGTCATTTCAAACAGACCAAATTGCCAATGCGCTCTGCAATCTCCTGCTTCCTACCCCCTCCCCGAGCCTTGAAGGAAAATGCTAAGAATTTGCAGATCTTCAATGTTTAGGCCCTCAGCTCTGCAAGGAACTGTATTTGTGAGCCACATTGTCTAGTATGTTATTCTCCAATTTCCATCAGCCTTTCAGACAGCACAGCTGCCACCAAGCCTATTCCTGTTAAAGAATGCTTGGAGATGAGTCCTCGTCTCCAGAACAGGGAGATCTGTGGATTTGTGTCTGATCCCATTTGTAGCGAATGAAGTGAAAGAAACACCACTGAGTACAGCAAAGGTATGACAGCAAATGCAAACCCTAATGAAGACACTGCCATCTTCAAAGGGTTACATTCCCTGTCTTATTTATTTTTGCTGTTTTGAACGTTCGAATTTGTTTCAAACTTTCATATTTCCTTTTCTTTGCCATCCAGCCTTATAAACCATTCCTGGGCTGATTAGCTTATGTGCCTTCCCCTGAAATCACATCTTGCATACCCAGAATGATCCTGGACCCGCAACCTTCCGCTGGATGCTCCGATATCTCCTGTCAGCATCTTAAAGATGGTTGTCTTCCCAGCTCCATTCACACCAAGCAAGCCAAAGCACTGGGTTATGAGACAGAAAGGCAGAAATGCAACCATGCTTGTATTTATAGTGCAAAAATACTGCACCGAGATGAGTGCTCAGTGCAGCTTGTCACTTCTTTTCTCTGGCCTCTTGAGCAAGATAAATTGCAAGAGCAGCAGAGATACTTGGAGCATACAAACATTATCATGGAGGTTTTTTATGGTACAATATACCGCAGCGTATATTAGGACCGTTTGTCTAATATGGTGAAGAATCAAGGACGTGTCTCTAATGGAGTCATTTCTTTTACTGTGAGGTGCATTCTCACAGTGAGCTCGCCTGACAGGCCAAATCCCGCTCATCTCATTTGTGCCAGCCTCCCATTGACAGGAACAGAGCTATTCATAGGAATGAGGTGAGTGAGGTTTGTTCTGTCATTGGTAAAACCTCAACGTGACACAAGATTTTCGTCAAATAATCTCACTAATGCACTACATTAATAAGATTAAGAACTGGCTCCCCGTAGTGCAGTTCAGTATCTCATGCTAAAATCCATATTTTATTGCTAGGGCCGAAGATACACAACGGTGTGTCACGTAAGCAATCACCACTGTGCTGATAATTACTATTATTTTGATATCATTAACACAGATCAGCTGCTTTGAAAATCCTTGTGTGCTGGGACCCGACCAGAGGCAGGGCATCCATCCAGGGTTCAGCCCCCACCTCAGGTCTGTGCACCAACAGTAGCTGTGCACAGGGCCATGGCCTCTGGTGACAGATGGGGAATGGCACCCCAAGCCCCATCAGTGTTGGGATGACTTTTGCCAGGAGTCAGAAGCCTCACTGCCAATTGTGGTTTGGAGAAATCATCTGCCAAAAAGTTCAGTGACCACACTGCTCACATGTGGCTGCTGTCCTCCTGCCCAGCTCTGTAAGTCTTTTCATATACCCTGTGGCTCAGTGATACTCAGGAGTACTTCCAAGCCTTCCCACTATTCAGTTTCACGGCCTGACATGGGATCTGGTCTCCACAGGCCCTATAAACTTTCCTCTGGGTCTCAGAGATGCTCCATGTGCTCCCATCTTTTCTCCTACGTGAGTGATCAAAATCTACCAGCAACCTTTATTTGCTACTGCAGCCCCAAGAATTAATACATATAAAAAGTGCAAGGTGAAGGAAGGAAGAAGCCAGAGTGGAACAAACCATTCCAGCCACGCTGGGACAGTGGCAACAACCGGGGAGAAGATGCTGGTGGGACTCTGGACCTGCCCCAGTGTCTCTCCCCATAGCTTTAATCAACTTGCTTACCTCTCCAGCAGGAATCCCCAGGCTGATGTTTTTCACAGCCACAATGCGTTTGTGAGGAAGGTGGTAGATCTTTGTGAGGTTCTGAAGCAGTACCACATCAAAGTCAGCTTTGCCGGACTCTACTCGGACCCTCTCTGCCTGAACATCCCCATCTTCTTCAGTCACAGACAGCAGAAGTGGGGCTTTGCCATGCACTCTGTCAAACAGGAACCTAAGAGGAGGAAATAGGGTTATTATGGCATTATCGTTTAGCAGTCACAGACAGCAGTAGGTCTGTATGTTTGGGGTACTGAGGAGCCTTCTTGTGAGATCCCAAGGTGTGCAAACATACACAGGCTTGCAGTTTCTATTCTCTTTTCCTACTTAATCTTTTCAGGGAATTCAAGAAAACCCAGTGTTCCCTTTATGCCTAATTTTTCCTCTTATTCAGCAAACATTCTGAGCTGGAGCAGGCTCTGCCTTGTGAATACACTCACAGAGCCAGGGACAGGTTCTTGCTTCTCAATGGAGAAAAGAAGAGGCTCTCAATGAGCTGACTCCTCTCACCAGCCAGCTGAACACCAGTCCACCAAAGCCAGAGGCCTGAAACAGGGAGGCCTGAGCCAGCAAGGACTAACAAGGGACTCTGGTAACACACACATATTTAGAAGACATCCTCATTACTGGTAGGTGCCAGCATTGCTGCCAGAGGAAAATTCTTTTGTGTTTGCAGAATGTCTGGGAAATACATGGGATTCGTAGTGGACAGCGATGGTGTGTGACTACCCAGAAAGAACACAGTGAGTGATGGCTCGGCCCGTTCTCATCGAGGTACTCCAGATGTTACTTACTCCAGTGTGCTGTTCCAGACCTTCTGAACCATCCCATCGTGAACTGTCAGACGAATGGCAAAAAACACGGTGCCCTGGATAAACATGGCAAGCAGCTTGGACGTGGTCTTGTCCAGTTCAAAGGTTTTGTCAGGGTAGTCCACACCGTAGGCTTTCAAGAAGCCCAGCAGTGCCTGATCCTGCGACAGTTCGATCAAGCCGTAGCCAAAGCAAAATTGTGGGAACAGAAGGAAGGCGTGCCTTAAGTTTTCAGCTAGATCACGCAAGCCCTGGGGAAAAAAGAAAGAAAAAGCAACACCACAAGAGCAGAGTCACTGTTTTTATTCATGGAATAAATTCATAGGTTTCACTATGGAACTGAAGTGTAACAATTACATTGGGATTTGCTTGTGTCTCAGAGCAGAGATAAATTGAGAGCAAAGAGCTCTAGAGACAGCTCATTTCGCAGACACAAGGTCAGAAAAGTCAAGAGGCAACTCGGAGGCTGTGATCACCCATAGTAAGTAGCATCCAGCTCCTGTTGCAGGAGCCTAGAGCATGCAGCAGCCAGAAACCCACTCATGAGCCAGAGCTGAGTCCTGCAGCTGCCCAAATTAGCATCACTGCATCAACCCACTGCAGAGGACTGCCTGCTCTCCAGCTCTGCTCCTCTGGAGCGCTGTCCTAACCATTTTTCTCAGACAAACATCCCCATAAAACTCAAGATCTGACTCTCATAGACATAAAGGCTTTTCCAGTTAATTCGTGGCAAAGCAGCTGAGTGCAGTCTCCCAGCTATGTGCTCTTACATCTCCAGCAGAAGAAAAGACTAGCACACACAGCAAAGTGGAAAGGCTGCACATTTGTATGGGGACAGACTGACTCCCTGCCTCTGGGGCACAGAGGGATAAATGCAGATCATATTCTTACATCCCTAAAATCTAGGGGGCTGCTTAGCTACACAGCAAAATCCAACAGAGCTCTTGTTTTACAAAGCAAGTGCCCTTTCTTTAAAAAACAACAATAATTAAGTGTAAGGTGTACACTTTGCATTTTATTCCACTGATTCCCAGGGATGTCTCTATTTAAGACAAGGCTTGACATCACTGTCTCAGGGTCGTTTTTTATCCTTGCAGGGAGAAGGTGATTGCATTACGGATCGAGATGACAGGCAGCCACCGCTGGGCTTAACGCAGCGCACTTGACACTCAACGCAATGAAATCCAGTTGTCACTCTCAAGTTTGTACTGCAAGAATGGAGCTATAGTTTAAGTTCCCATCAACCTCCTATCAGACATCCACACCTTCCTGCCTTTCTCAGCAAGGGCAGTTCTTGTCCTCTCTTGTTATATTCTTCCCCCTGTCACCACCATGCTCATCTTGGCTGGGGGAACAGATCTACACAAACAAACAGGATTTGTATGTGACTCACACCCTGTCTACCCTGTAGTCTGCAACTCCTGTCCTCTGCTTGGTTGACCAGAAAGCTGCTAAGGACCTGATCAAACCCACCAAACTCAACAAGAAGCCTCCTGTTGTTTCGCTCAAGGCTTGGTACCGTTGGGGTTCCTACCTGGTCTGTAGCTTTTTCCTGGGAGAGCAGAAACACAACGGAGTGTGTAATGATGGTATTGATGCCAAAGAACAAGTTGACACAGACATAAACGATGAAGGCCATTCCAGTCTCCTTGAAGACTCCAGCCAGCAAGTACATCCATGAAAATGTTGCATACCTATAAATCCCCAACGGCATAAAGAGCAATTGAACAGTAACTCAAAGAGTAATTGAAAACCAATAACTAAAGTCCTCAGACAACTTAACAGTTCTGTCCTGGCAAATGACTAGACTCCTATAGTACAGGAACTTAATGGAGGACAAATGGCTTGATATCTGCTAGAACTGAGAGAAGTTCATGATACGCAGCCCTGGCTGAAAGCAGATAGGCTGGGCCTGGAGGACTTAAAGTCAGGGAAACAATTTTGCAAAGTTTTCCAGAATTTTCCTGGGTTTTTTTTGTTGTTTTTTTTTTTGGTTGGTTTGTTTTCCCCTTGTTGCATCTCAAAAGTTCACAACAGTTCAGTAAATATCTGCTTACAGCCTGAGCTGTCACTGTGAGCTGGAATGTTTTGTATCCTCACAAAGATCTTGCAGGCACGACAGCAGCTTAGCTCGCTCTGTTCCTGGAAGGAGTCACCTCTTGCTAAGTTGGCACTGAAGAAGAAAGCCCGCTTATTTCTCTGTTGGATCCCAAATCACAGCCTGCAATATCCAGTTCCTCACTCTGATATTTAAATTGCTTCACACTTACCCAAAGAGTAGCAACAGAAGAAATACTGCCAGTAAGTTATTGTTGTTGCAGAATGCTGGTATCTGGAAGGATGAAATAACTCCTATCGAGAGTCCAATAGGGATCATAAAAAGTACCTGTAGAAAGATATTACAAATATGTTATTAGGACAATAATTCTTCAGAATTTTTCTAGAATGATACAGAAGCAGTAAAATCTGAATTGGGTCCCACTGTTGTAGCTAAAGGAAACTAAATACAGGTAAGTGTCTCAGTCTTATTTAGGAAGTCTTGCATTTGAAGCCTATTTGAATAGGCTGAATTTTGTTTAAAAAACTAAAGAAAAAATAATAATAAGGAGAGAAAAAAAAAGAGGAAAAAGAGACCTAAATGGAAAAATACCCTTTGGGTTTTCTGTTAGCCTTGCAGACAGGCCAGTTCATTGCTCTCTGTAAATCCAGTCTCCCCAGAGTCAAGCTACAGACCTACCATGGGTCTGCCTCAAGAGGTTCCTCTTTTTCTCAGCTTTGGGATTCAACAGAATTTCCTGGTGGGGATTCACTGAGAAATACCAAGTTGCTGAGAGTGCTGGATTAGTTTCAGCCTGCTGAATACTGATTGTGGCAAGGACTCCGGGGATTCTTCCACAGGCTGATTTACAAATATGCAGTGCTGGAGCAAGGTTTGGATCAGGGAAGCAGAAACACACCTGCCCCATTCTCCAGCCCCCTTGTCATGACTCAAGGAGGCTGTGGCAAGCCAGACTGTGGCCATGGCTGACAGACCCCAGGGATTTCAGCCCTTAGCTCTGGCTGCATCAAAGAGGGGCTGCCACTCAAATACACTTGCAGAATTCCTATTTTCAGAAATCGATGCTGTCGCTGGGATTTTAGCAGAACACAACTGCACTGATGGAAACTCATAGGGTATGTGGAGCTGATCACCATCACAGATGGCAGTGCCAAAGCTCGTGAGCAGAAATAGTCCTGCACTTGCAGATCTCTAGCTTCGTGAGGGTTTGACATCATGCACCAACGATAGTTCTTAAGACACAAAGCGCTTCAGTCTACAGATACTGTGTATGTGATGCTTTCCAGCAGTGCTATTAACCCTCTTTGCCACAAGGAGACTAAAATTCAGAGTACAAGGGCATGTCTATGCTGCATGATGCAGTACAGCGCTGAGGAGCTCAGCTATCTCTAGGAACGTGGTAGCAAATCTTTACAGCACAGTGCAGCACTCTAGAAAGCGACCTGCTCATTACCTGGAAGGCACAGAGCTACACGTAAGCTTCCTGGCTTAAAAACATTTACAATTGATAGAGCATTCAACTAAGCAATGCATTTTGCCAAGTAGAGGACTGTCAGCTGTGAGATGTCTGCTAATGTCATTCCCCATGGTCGCAGGGTTTCCAAAACGGCTCCAGTTTCAAGCCCCAAATCTTTACCCCAGATGCATAAAACCCACCTGACAACTCACATAGTCCTGCAAGCTAACAAAAAAGCTGCTTGCTGCTTGCATGATAAAGTCGAAATCAAGCCCTGGCCTGTTCTGTGCTGCTCTCATATAAATGTGCTGAGTGTTTTGCATACACTCAAGAGAGAAGGAATGCCTTCGCTTAGCAAAATCCAGTGTTGCAGTTCACATTTAATCGTCTTCAGTGCCTCTGAGAACAATTAGTACATAACACTCTTGGTAGTGATAATATTAATAAGCCTAGTCAACCAACTTTAAATAAAGAACTTTTCCCCCCTCCTGCTGCTGAATGCCACTCTGGATGCATTTAAGAGTTTGAATTATTTACCAGATCATAAACGAAGTTTGTCACCCAGTAGCTTGTCATTCCAATGCCTGAAATATGCTGCAGTTGCTTGGCTTTGGTTTGATGTTCTTTTACTACGTAGAGCACGAAGCTTGCCGTTGTGATGGAGTAGCCAACCAGAACAGACATTGAAACTATGATATCAAGTAAGCTGTTGAGCCTGGGGAGAAAGTAGAGAAAGATATACATGGTGAGTCGAGGCGGTCGGCTTCCCTTGTTGAGCTGGTTAGAGCTTAGAAGCATAAAGGACCTGAATCTGTTCCAGTGTCCTTTGTTGGTTATTATGCCTAGGAAAAAAGTCACCCCCAGATTCATGAAGGATCCCACAAAAAACACCCTAAAAAGAAACATCCTGTGGCATACAGAGTGCCGCTCATGCATAAAGGCAAGGAAGGCAAGATGAGAGCAGTTTTCACATTTGGAGGGAGATATTTAGTAATTTAGGCTGCTTAGTGGTTTCCAGGAAGCAGGCTTGCTTCTTTTGAAGCTGAACAATTCAGGCATCAGCCGAATGAATCTTCTTACATTACTTGTTCTTGACTCTGTCCTCCTGGATACGGGTGAGCTGATAAGAAAATACCTACAAAACCAAAAAGAAAATAAATGTTAAAAGTAGCTAGCTTAAAGTTTCTTTCCTCAGTTCTCGAGGTTGACAGTAATACAGGAGACTGAATAGAGAAGAAACACAGACCAAATCTCTTTTTGCTCTATCACTGCAGTGTGACCTTGGGCAGGATTTTGAGAGGCTCCATCTTCCTATGATTCCACTCTGATGCTCAGCAGCTATGAAATTCAAACCCTAGGCCTTGCTTCTGCACCTGCCCACCTTTAAGGGCTATATATCTTTCACTTCAGCAAGAATGCTTTGACAGTGAGGAGAACAATTTTGTCTTATGCAGCTGGAACAAACAAAGAAAAACAGTTTGTCCAAAGGAACTAGTGGCAATTGACTTGTTCAGTGCCCATAAAAACTATTACAGGGAGGAAGCTGGGGGGCCCTGTTGGGTCAGTTCCAACCTCCAGCAAAGTCCAGAGCCTCGGTCACACTTGGGAAAGGGTTTAAGATAAATTTTATGCCTAAAAATGAGGTTCTCCATCTGGATTTAGGCACCTAAATAAATTCCTCAGTTCTCAGGGGGTGCTGGGGAACCTCAAGCTGCTATAAAATCCAAAAAAAGATTTGCTAGGACATAGCAACTCTGAAATTTAAACTCTCCTGGTGCCTGACTTTTGGCAGCTACACAAGGGGGGAGTATTTGGGATTGTTTTCCCTAAAACAAGAACAGAACTCTCTGGCACGAGGGCCAGCAAAGAGCAGACTGCAGTTGTAGCCGACCAGGTGCCAAACCAAGCAAATAGATTCGAAAGGGAAGATTCCTCAGGAAATACATTCCATGGAGGGAAAAATCCTCAGCCTTGTCATCAGTGAGCAAAATAGAATTGAAATCTGAGGCTGCTGATAGAGCCCCACAAACAGCCAGGAAATGTTTTCCTTCTCTAAAAGAGGGAGAAAGAAAGATACCGTCTGTCTAATCTGCTAATGCTTCACTATAAAGCCATTTTCCTGTGCTGAAGCTTAGGCTAGAAGTCAGAATTTCCATTTCAATGCTTACTCTTTTTTTGTTGGTTGGGATTGAGAGAAGAGAAAGCACAATATACGAAAGTCAAAAGCTATTATGACTTGCTTAGTGACAGGGTAAAAAGCTCTTTATGTATTTTTTTTCTTTTTTAAAGATATGCTAAGTCAAATGTACTGAAGCAGGACTGGCACCTCTTTCAAACTGCTGAAATGACAACACGCTTTTATCTGGCCTTTTCAGTGCTTCTTAAACTGTCATTTATTTGTCACAACAACAAATAGATTTAGCTGCCAGGGACATACCACGCAGACCGTCTGTTCAATTGTATTTCAAACTGGATTTACACTACCCCAGGGGAGCTATCCTCATCCATTCATTTTATTTCCCCCATTCTATGAATTGGATCATTAGTGGGAAGTGGAGAATTATCTGCCTGGTCGTTTACTACTAAGCATTTCATTCAGAAAAGAAAAAAACAACCAACCAAACCAACACGCATACACAGCAGGACAGATGGAATAAAAACTGCTGCTATTCTTTCCCGTTGAAAATTGCTGTTTTGCTGGTACCAAACTTTCCCTGTGAAAACTTTCTGACTGTTCACATAAGCTTTGCTCCCACAATGCATGCGCTGGGAATTCAGAGGTGGGGTGAGCATCACTGCTTAATAATTCAGCTGCTTTGGGATGCTCCTGCTGCTGGAAGCTCCTGTCTCTGCACGCTGGCAAGGACTGCAGCTTTGCCACTGCATACAGACAAGCTTGAACCCCCTGACCTCGAGGCACCCTGTGAGTCTCAAAGGCACGAGCCTTTATTCATAGGATGGTTGTGGAGCCAAGGTGCTGCTTTTGCTTGTTGTGAGGGGAGCTGCAGTGCATCAATATGCGGAGGTGGGGAGAGAGATGCACTGCTTGGACTTGAAATCAGCATTCTGCTGCGTCTTGAATTCGTGGCATAGCACTCAAAGCTTCAGCAGATGCCTTTTCCATTGTAGTTAAATTCAGATCACTGAGGAATAATAGTTTTATGAGCAAAGAGACACTCAGCTATCTCACTGCCACCTGGAACATCCCAGGTGAGGGGGCTTGGCATGGCCGCAGTGTGGCCGGAAGGGCAGCATTTGTCACAGAAAATCAGGGGGGCATCCTGCAAACAATCTGAGGGAGCCTTTCTATGCATAAATAAGAGGCACTAATCAAAAGTGCCACAACGAGAAGCAATAAATCAAATACCAACTGCTGACATTTTTTGGATGAAGCGAGCGTTTTACACAGGAGCAGGGGTCTTCCCTCTCCAGCTCCCTAGGGTCTTTGACAAAGACAAATGAAATAAGTGATTTATTCATGTTTCTCAGTGCTGTCTTTAAAGGAATCTGCATAATTTGGAGTTTTAAAAAACGACCTCACTGAAGCCCCCCCCCAGTGGGGAGAAATTACCTGTTTGTGTGAAGGGACACCTACCATATCTGGAACTCTCATTTTTTGGCAGATTAGCTCGAAGAATGAAGTTGTTCAAGCTGTTCAGATAGGCTGGAAGGCTGTGATAACCTTCGGGATTGTACCACACCTGCACACGACGGAGAAATTGAAACAAATTGGGAGATAAATTGTGACTGATAACATTTTGGTTTGTTCTTCTTGCACAAATGAATCAGCCCGTAGCTGTTATCTCAAGACTTAAGCTCTACGAGCTAAAGTCCCATGATTAAACCACATCAGGTACCAAATGAGTATAAAAGCACATTTCATTTAAAACATGAGCAGTCCCATCAGCTTCATTTGCCTTCCGAGGGAGAGGAAAAGAACTAACTGGATATGTGATATAAAACCACAGATACGTGGTTTCTTTTCTATCAAACATCAGCTTCCCTTGAAAGCAAGTGGGATCAGATTATTTTAGGGCAGAAAACACTGCTCTTCTCATTCAGCAACAGCCCTTCCTATAGTCATGATCACTTTTTGCCAAAACCACGATGAACTGCAAGGACTGAGGGCCTTGCAGACCAGAGGAGATGCACTTTGTGGGGATTTACCCTCTTTAGGAACCACTTGCAGCACCCGGATTAGAGGTGTAAATTACTTCTAAAGCACAAAGGGCTTAGGCTATTAAGATTACAGGCTTCAATACAGCCCACAGCACCCACCTTTGCATATCCCCAAGTTCTACATGCTCAGTGACTTCATTCTTCTTACCCTAGCAGAGCAAGTACTGCTAAAGAAAGAGGGGGCTGGAAGTCAGCCTTGCTTCCAGTGCTACCAAAGTTTCAGGTTTCTAATCTGACACGTGATTAGCAAATAGCAAGAGCTTTCAGATCTAGAATTGAAGGGGTGAAAACATTTGAAAATTGATTACATGAGCTCTGAGCATCAGCAAAACAATAAGCAATGAATCCTGTAATTCCCTTTGACTGGGAACACCTCTGAGAACAGCACTGCTTTTGCAGGAACACTTTCCTGGTAAGCTAAGTTTAGCATGGAAACAACAGGAACTCATCTGCAACTCTCTCCTACCTCAGATTTCAGCCTTAGTGCCTTTAATGCTGATGTGTTACAACATTTTCACTGAGCAGAAACAGAGAAATGGGTAAATCAGAATGTACAAGCCAGCCCTAGCAAAGCTACATACGTTCTCCCATGAGATAAAGGTGCCACGAACCAATCTTTTCACATCTGGGTAATAAAATTATGACAGCAGAAAAATTGTTTCCTATCCGCAAGAGAAGTCAGACCAATAAAGAAGAACGGGAAGAGGAGAGAAAATGAACTGAAAGTCATCTCTCCCATGCCAAGCTGCAAGATTTCAGATGTTTCCCCTCTCTCTTCTAAAATATCCCCAAACTCAACATCACTCCAGTGGAAGTGAGTTACCTTGGTCAGTGTTCTGCTGGGGGGCACTGGCTTGATATCAAACTGGAGATCTCTCGTCAAAGGCATCCCAAAACTCCAGCCACCATACCTGAATGAAAAATCCAGAGGGAAATGCACTGTTACGTTCACTCAGAAGCTGTAACAGCATGGCTGGTGTATGTTAGCATGGGCTCCTCAGAGGCATACATGCACTGCATGGCACCATAGTCTCAACTGTAGACTGACTTGAAAGAGAAGAACTTATCACGCTACATGGCGTGAGATATGCCAAGCCAACACTGCTGCAGGAGCCCATATCTGGAGAAAACAAGGGAAACAAACTCAGCAGTGTTACCACAAAACTGCCTCAATTTGAGAAGTACTTTGGAGATGCTTACTTACCACACTGAAACAAGATGATTGCTTCTTTTCCAGAAGATGAGCAGCTCAGGTTAAATCAATGGACAGGTGAACGTATTCCTTGACAACCTCAGTGGCAGGCTATTTTTGCCCTACAACATGCTGTGCAGCTGCATTGCAGGCTCCAGACATAATAATAGTTCTAACAGCCCCATTGTGCAAGAAAACACTTCAATTCTCACCTCCATCCAACATGGGCATTTGTTTAAGTGAAGTGCACACCAAGACTCTCCAGACAATTAAACCTAGAGGAGAATCTCTCCCCAGGGTTTTTTACTTCATGACAGGCTGTGTCAGATTTTCCTCTTCAGAAACATTTCTGAGCCAGACAAAAGCCCATCTACAGCCCCAGCCACCAGCTCATTGGGTGACTGACGTTATCCCCAGATGCTCTCTGCTATGATCAAGCAGATCACTTAGACAAAACCTTTATCTTTAACTCTATGCTTCTAGTGCATTTTACCTCCTTCCACTAGATTCACAGAAGCTATCAGCAAAGCGGTCCTGCTAAGCCTTGCCTACACCATCCCCTCTTTAAGTACAGGGATGTAAGTCTAAAAGGATGCTCGTAGTGCAGTTAAGAGAAAGAATGGAGATGCATGCCATACCGTTTCTGCAGGAAGTCTTTGGTGGTTGCCAGAATGTAGCTCTCCACGTTGTGCCCCGTAACGTTATAAAGCATTCGTGTAGAGAAGGTCCTTCTGTGAGGGGGGGTATAGTTCTTCTGTGGGCACGTCTGAGAGGAGACAAGGGAACAAAGACATCAGTGACTGTGCTTTAACTGTAAACCTCACACAACAGGACAGGGCTGAGAGCTGACAAAGGTGACATTCTGGTCCTGGGACCAGTGCTTAGAGAAACCACAGGGCCAAGACGCACAGCATCCAACCCAGCGTGCTGTTCTCGGTGTATTTAGAGAGGTGCTTCAAAACAACCTTTGCTTCAGTCTACACTTCAGATTCACTGACATTAGCGAGACCTTGAAATGTGCTTCATGCTAGGCAGGAAGATTTTTCCTGAATTAACTCTGATCCCTTTTAGCAGAGCTGCAGTGACTGCACTGACAACGGCAGAAGGCAAAACAGCTCACGGAGCACAAAACTCCACGGTGGCCTCAAACTCTCACCTTGCATTTCACAGCAGCTACGCTTTACATTTTAACTTTACTGTCAGTCATTGGGAATATTTTTCAAAGCTTCAGAGAAACCTTGGATTAGTCCCGAATATAGAATTTAACACACTGAGGGTCAAAATTGCATTGACTGCTTCATAAGGTTGAAACGTCCTCCACTGGACAGCATGCTGGCTGCTTCCTTCAGCTCATCCATAACAAAAATCCTGGCCTCCCCTATTGTGTATCTGTTCAAAACTCTACATCAGAATACACAAAACAGCTGCCTTCATGCTGAGGAACACCTGCCTGTGCCTGTTAGAGGTGAGAATCAGCTTTGAACATTACCCTGACTTAAGAGAGAATTGATGCCAGTACTTCTAACGATGTGAAATTAAGTACATGCCCAGTAAAGTGCATAAAATGGCTGTGCTTGAAGAAATGTCTAGGAACTTCTGACTAAGTACATGCTTTATCTTACAAACAGTATCATGCTGTGCCTGGAGTTTGGTTTCTTTCTGGAATAAAGCTGAAGACAGGTGAACAACACTGTGGGGAGGAGAGATCAACGTAATCTGGACATATTAAGTTCTAACTTTTTTTAGTCTGCCTTTCCCCCCTATGCATCTAAAGACATGGAGCTCAGCAGGACCCATATCTGGTCCTGTATGTACTACTGCAAGGCAAATAACTAATATTGTTAATCACCACTATTCATAACGTGGAATGGTGCAAAAGCAGATGGATCCAGTAGACTTTGCATACAGTTAAATTCTAGCAGTAATAGCTGTGCTTTCATATAATGACAGTGCTGTATAAAATGCAATTTTCCTCTTGAATATACACTCACCTCTGCTAAATGGGACAATCATACAACATTCAAAAACACCATTAAGTCTCTTCCTATAGAGGTGAGCAAGGCAGATATATGAGCATGCAAATCTTCTGAGGTTACTGTTTCCTTTCCTGTCCCCAAGCTGGTGCACTCTGTCATTATCCAAAGTACAAAATCAACACGACCAGAAAGGGAGAGATGGGATTTTGAATACCAAGTTCCCACAGATCCCCATTCACAACCTGCTGGTTTCCCACCAAACTCCCTCTCTTTTGGGTTTATTCCAATTACCTGGATGCCATCGGTGCAGTTGCAGGCAGAATACTTTGTTGAGGGGTCTCCAGTGGTGATCCATGGGCCAAGCATGTCTTCATTTAAACACTGCCTGAAAATGAACACATTCTCCTCTGAGGGTCTCTATAGCCAGAAGTGCATATGCTACTAAGATGGCAGTAAGAGGCTTCAGCAGAAAAGGAAACCTCCTTTTGCCTGCTCTGGAAATACCTGTCCTCCCACTGATTTGGTGGAGAACCTTCAGCACAGTTCCCCTTGCCTGCATTCATCCAGCTGATTAGAAAGAACCCAGACACTGCTTCATTCCCGCAGCACTTGGCCAAAGCCAAAATCATCTTCCAATACAGAAATAGGGGATACACCTGGAAAGTGCTGCAATGGGCCATACTGACAGCAGCCTCTACAAATACTCAGCATAAACATTTGCGTGCTGATGTGAGGCACACTTGAGTACATAACCTGCCCTGGATTGTGTTACTATTGAAAACTCATCCTCAGAGCCCCAAAGAGACCAGTCCTCATAGGACAGCTTTGACTTATGAATAATAGCTATGCTGAGAATGTAGCCATGAGCAGAGCAAGCTTGCACCAGCCTGCCAAAGGCTGCTTAGATATCTGCAGCGTGCTTAAAGAATCTGTAAGTCAGTCTGGAAAGAGGCAAGAAACATTTTTCCTCCAGCATCCACATATGAAAATTCTGCAGACAATCAAGGATGGAAAGAGGTCTGGTGGCTAACGGAGTTACATCAATTCTCTTGCAGACTCAGGATTTAAATGGGAAATAAAAAGACAAGAAGTACTTACGAATTGCTTTCATTCATGCATGTGTTATCTGTCCCAGGGAAAGAAAGCATCGAAGCAACTAAAGCATTTGTTGTTTCATTGAAATTCCTACAATTTAAGAAACAAACAAACAAAAAAAACCAAAAAGGAAAATATTCAGCATATTTCCATCACCACTGAGCAGAGGAAAGATGTCTGAAAGAAATGGGATTTATTTAGGATGCTAAATAAATGTCCTGGTGCTAGCCCTGCATACAACTTCAGTCCTTGCAGCACATGAGGGCAGACACACAGGTTTAAAAGAGCTGCTCATTGCCTATAGTTGCACATCTACCCCTGTGACTCACTGCCTCCAGATCAAAGCAACATACAGAGAAACTTCTGAACAATCAAAAACTCTGTTTCCATGGAAAAAGGATCCACAGACATTTCCAGACATGACTCCTCATCTCAATCAGTTCTGACACCAGTGAAGTCCATTCGCTTTAGGTCATTCAGGAAAATGCATTTGTCTCCCCTGCAGTGATCTACCAGGAGAAGCAGGGAGCCTTAGGAACAGAGGACTCAGAGACACGTGGCTCATCTGCCCATCCAGCAGTACTGAAGCAGAAAGGCATGAGCAGTCCCAGGAAAGAACATCTGACAGCAGATGGGTGATTTGTAACGACATTAGAGATGGATTTCATATTGCTTTCTAAAGAACCACTGGAGAAACGCAGTTTACCTCATGAAACCAGAATGATACAGACTGTATTCATTATGGTAACCAGATATTTAAGCACAATTAAATCAGTAAGTGGTGATGTGTTAATCATGCCCTTCAGTTCACTGCATGCCTTGGACTAGTGAGTCCTGGACAGGACAGCAGCACATCTTCCTGTTCTGACAGAGAGGCAATCAGACAGCTCACAGGACAGATGGAACTTGATCCTATAGCTGCAGTGTTGGACCCAACTAATGCTGCACCTCCATTTCAGATTGGGGAAGATTGAACACTTTTTAAAAACCATTTTGAGGCAGGATGGATGTCACAGGGACAGATGGCTCCAACGGCAAACACAACAAAGAGTATTTCTCACATATTTCACAATTAATCCCAGCTTACAGATTGTTTTTCCAAAGCTTTCTGATTGCTGGCGTGAGCCGAGCCATCTCTCCAAGAGACACCCCTAGGAAGAGGATTTTATCACTGTGTTATCTGCATAACACCTTTCTGCTGTACCTGCTGAGGAACAATCCTGACAGTAAGAACTGGGCCTTGATGGGTTGAAGGCTGAAAAGGAACACCACTCACCCAAAGAAGTCTGCCTGATCTGACGTGCCATACAGAGAGGGGGAAAGAATCAGCTCTGGGTATTCGGTCTCCTTAGTCCTCAGCGTTCCAAGTCCCATTGCTGCCATCACAAAGAGGACTGGGAGGATGACCTGAGCAATGAAGCCTCGCACATCGCGCCGGGTATGGTGGAATCTCTTAATGAATAAAGCTGATGTCTTCTTAAGCAGCAATGGTAAACCCTGCAGGCTCTTAGATCTGATCAGGAGCTGATCTGGGTACAAAAGAACACATTTTGCCACGGATCAGTATTCATGAAATGCAGAGAACTGATGCTCACTGGAACTTGGGAGTTACTTTGGCTGCCTGTTCTCCTTTTCAGATGGAAAAATCAAAACTAGTGAGCTGGACTGTACCCCATTTGGACAGAATTCAGGTTTTGGCTCAAGTAATGACACGTAACACCAGTTTTTTGCTTGATTTCAAATGCACACACGTAGCATGCACATTTTGACATCCTGCAAGACAAAAGGAGACTTCCAGATACAAGAAGTTATCTGCACCCTCTCTACTCAGCTACAACTTTTGTATTTGCAAACTGAAAATTCTTATCATTCAGAAAGGACGTCCCAAGGCAAATCAATAAGGGAATTCATTAGGGAACAAGAAAACAAGGCATATAAACTAATCAATCACATGCATAGACAAGGTTGCAGCATGAAAAAAGCAGAGCTGAACCCTATGTAACCTATTCCTCTTTATGAAATATTAACCTGTATAATACAACAAAAGGCAAATCATCTTCAGTGCTCTTGTTAGGGGTATCATAAAATACTTTTCTATGCATCCGTGTTACGTCTTACGGATTTGCTCATTTACAGTGCAGGTCAGCTTTGAGAAGTGAGTACAGAAATACTTCTGTGTTGTCCCTTAGCAGCTTCCTTAACTATAAATGATATATCCATAAGCAAAAAACATCTCCAGTTTGTCAGAAGGGATGTTTCGGATGTTTTTGGGACCATGCCACCTTGGGCAGCTCTCAAACCCTCAACACACAGACACTGCTGATTCTCTTCTGAAGGTAAATCTATCCCAATGTGTGGCCCTTTTTGCTGTGTGACTTTTACTGCAGTCGCTGGGACAGAACAAAAAGCAGTGGGGAGGATGGAGCTCAGAGCTGTGCTGCTTTTCCCATGAAGTTTCTCTCAAATTCTACTAATTGCGTAGAAATAATTCTCTGCATCAATTACAGCAATTGCTTTCAGAGCCATACATTTGCTACTTCACCCACACACTGCATTTGATTAGATTAAAACTGGAATCAATTTAAAGGGAGGCGGATGCAAACAAAACCCCTCTGTAATTTGTTCTGTGATTCAGACATTCCAAACCAGTGGATCTAGACAACCGTAGAGTGCTGAGCTTCTAGGGAATCAGTGGCATTGTGTTTCTGGTTGGGTGAAGTGTGTTTTTAAACCAGAAAGAGTCCATCTGTCACTGTTTGCATTCTCTGACAAATCTGGATTAGAACCTGGAGGTAATTTAGTACCATCTCTTTCTGTGAAAGTATCCGTGCTCACAGACATTTCGTCCCCGCCGTTTTGGCCACTGGCTCCAGGCCCTCGCTGGGATGGTCCTGCATCTTCTTGTGGGTCTTTCCCCAGCTCTTTTGTCAGATTGAGAAATACCTACAGAACAAGAAAACATACAGGGAAACTGGTCAAAAATACTCAGTACTCCAACATCTCACTCTCTAAGTAAAATGCTGAGAGGTGAGACGGTGCTATGCTTTGTGCACTACTAGATGCATAAATTTATGCATACATCTACACCTTCCCATATTCATAACTATAGAACAATGAGTAACGAAACCAATTTCTTCCCTTCCCTGTTACTCCTACATCCAAAACCTGCCACCACCTACCTCTTCCACAGTTGTGTTTGAAATCCCATAGCAACCAAGGTGGAGATCACTCAAGCTGGTATCGAGGGCTCTGAGAAGTGCCTGGTAAGCCCCCGAGACTGTGGACTTGAAGGGGGGAAGCACATACACGAGCTCTCCACCAATATCCTCCTTGAGATAAGCCTCTGGGAGGTGGGACTGGATCAGGGAGGTCACTGCTGCGGTGTCACACTCCTCTATCGCATTCTGAAAAAGGAGGAAAGCACTCTTTGTTCAACCAGAAGCTGCTGCTGTCAAAATTCCTGCTGCAGGGTTCAGCTCGGATCATGTCCTGATGGTGGGTGCTCTCAGCACAGACATGCAGCATTTCATTTTTAAAGCCAAAAGGAGATGAACCCGGGTTTCCAGCATTTGAACAAGACTCAGGAGATGTGGCACAGACTCCCTGCCCCTTGTTGTACTCAGGAGGAGCTCTGGGCACTTTTTGGACTATGTTGAGCCCAGCTTGGTCCATCCACGCCTTACTGTGCAGACATAGCGGGCCTAGGACAGATGGACCACTTTGCACCAGCTAGAGTGTTTACAGTGAAGAGAAAAAGTCCAGCCACATGGGAGAATTCACACCTGAACGTGCCTGCCAGCACAAACACAATTGTTTTCCTGTGAAGTACAGGGCTTGCACAAGGATCTCCTTTCATTTTCTCCATAGACGCTGCCAGTGATTTGGATGAGGAGCTGATCTTTTATGGTATTCATGTGCTATTCAGTGTGCTGGCCTGCCAACAGCACTGTAATAAATGCTTTAAGAGCAGAGTTCTGCCCTGCCTGCAAAGAGCAGAACATTTTGCCTCAGGTCAGGTACTATCAATGGATCTGACAACTCTGAACTTCAGAACTCACACTGGATCCACCCTTGCCTTTAACTATCAAGGAGGCCCTGTTCCCCAACAGAGCAGAGAGATGAATTTCCTGCTTCTGAGAGCCCCAGAGGCAGGTCTGATGGCCTCCCTGGGGACTGGCTTGGAGAGTGTCCCTCTGCTTCAAGGAAGATGCTCTGTTAGTATCTCTTCCCTGAGAAGCAGCATGCTCATATGCAGATCCTCCGTAGATCTTTGGTGCCCCTCTGCATCAAACACAACCACTAGGGACTGCTACCATTCTCAGCTCCTGCCAACAGATGTGCACAATGGACATGAAAACAAGCTAGGGTCCAGCAGGGAAGGGAGGATGAAGAGGACTTCACCTGGGTCACAGAAGGCTCAGATTCATACCTCTGCTTATCTTTGGGTAGCAGAGCTACCCAACACGTCCTACTTTCAAAACAGAAATTAGATTGGAATAGAAATTAAATTGGAATAACTATTTCATGGCAGAAATTTAAGACTGATAAGAACCTTTTGCAATGGACTTCATTTCTGTTGGATTACTATGACTCCCTTCCTTCCTTCCTTGCTTCCAAATGATTTATTTTCCCACCCAAGATGCCTATCATAAAAGCATACATTTAACTTAAGATGAGGCTGAAGATTTAGGACCAACTCTGACACGAACCTTCTTTTTTGTGAGCGTTAGGTGATATCCATCACCAAAAGTTTCCTTGAGGTAGAATGGAGACCCACAGCATTTGAGCCCTCCATGCTCTAGGAAGGCAATTCGGTCGCTCAGTACTTCTGCTTCATCTAAGTGATGCGTAGAGAGAATGATGGTTCTGCCTGGAAAAGAAGAAGCTGCTGTCAACCCACACAGAACAAACATACAGGATTACAAGAGATAGGTGAAAGCTGCATTGAATGATGTAGAGTTTCAGGTGAAAATCATCTGCATTTTTATGGAATTAATAATAATTAGATGAAAAGTAACATTACTGAGGAGCTGAAAAATATTATTGTAAAATATGCACTAAGGTAAAGATACTTATCAAATGACATTGTGAATTTACAAGAAGAATGAAGAATGAATTTAGAGGATCTACAAGGTGTTTCCAGTCCCCCACAACTGGTTCTCGATGCTCTCCAAAACTCACAGCTCAAAACCACTCCATATCACAGAATGGCCAGGGTTGGAAGGGACCTCAAACATCATGAATTTCCAACCCCCCTGCCACATTCAGGGCCACCAACCTCCCCATTTAATACTAGACCAGGCTGCCCAGGGCCCCATCCAACCTGGCCTTGAACTCTTCCAGGGACGGGGTATCGACACGTCTAAGGATGGGACACCATAATTTCAGGACACAAAGCATCTCTGCCTCTGGGCAGCATCTCATCTCATCACAGTACCTTTTTTATTCTTGGAGATAATTTCCCAAATACTCCTACGAGAGCACGGATCCACCCCTGTTGTTGGTTCATCCAGGATCACTACCCTCGATCCACCCAGCAGAGCAATAGCTATAGACAGCTTTCTCTTCATCCCACCAGACAGGGAGCCAGCCAGCTTATGACGATGGCTGTAGAGTCCAGTCTCCTTCAAAGTCCTTCAAAACAAAGAAAAAACAATCTCCAAATGTTGCCCTTCAGGCAACTTTTAAAAGCAGAATATTTGAAAATATCCAAAAAGCATAACTGCAAATGAAGAACTGCTCAAGTACAGACTGCTCTACTGAATGGTCAGAGTGCACTGAGATGATTCATCCTGTAGGTAGCTCAGCCACTGAGATTTTAATTTTTAAAAAAATCTTTCTTTAGGACGTTTTCAAAGTTTCCATCTGACAAGTTAAGGTTAAAGGCTCAACCTCATCAACAGAGATCACCAAAATCCAAATTCTCTGGGATGTTTTGGCTGTTTCACTTCTCCGCAGAACCAGTAAAGCTGGCATCATCTTCTAACTGGTTGATCAAATCTCTTTTTGGGGAAAACTGTAAAGAAGCAAGGATCAGACCCTTAGGCATCTCCAAAGAACTGCCACAGAAGCTTGTAAACTCCTGGAGAAGAAATGTTGTTTTCTTACAGCCACAGATTTCAGCACTCAGTGTACTCCTCCAGTCAGATCAAGGCATTTATTTGAACTCCAGGCTGGGTTTGCAACAATGCTCAAAACCATTCGTTTGAGCTTTGCAGTGGTACTACTACCACTCTCTCTTCTCCCACCCTGCTGTTTTCATACCTCTTAACTTCTTGGTAGAGCTCCTCTTTACTCCAGAGAGGGACTTTGATGTACCCATAGAGCAGCAGGTGCTCCTTCGTGGTGAGGTAGTTGAAGAGCACGTTGTGCTGCATACAGATACCCATGTTCTTCCTGATAACTTCCTGATCAGTCTTGATGTCTTTGCCATAGACAACGATAGTGCCTGATGATGTAGGGAACAGCCCGGTCAAAATAGATCTGAAAGGGAAAAATAAGTAGAAAAGGAAGTTAAAAACAAAAAAAGAGAAAGCCATAAGTACTTTTTCTCCACTCTCCTGTAGTTATCATTACTTGCCAAGCTTCCTTCCACCACTAGCACACTCCTTGCAGCCAGAAAACACTGAACACAGCTTCTTCTACAGTCTCTCCATGCTTTGGTGGAGCAGTGCCCAATTAACATCAAAGAGCGTCCTCCTTCCCCCTGTCTGTGGGATTGTGAGGGCTAGTACCAAGCTCACACACTGAGCTCTGGCTACTTTTCACATACACTTTTATCTTCCTTAGGGAGGTCTCTCCCTCCCTAAGTCAGACCACTGCATGTTCCTTTACATCAGTACTCATGAATGCCCTTCACTTCCAATTGAATCACTGGGAATTCACAGAATGCAGTTACTCTTCATTCTTTGGGGTTTGTCTGCAGTATCCAGACGGTCTCATACTGCTAACCACTTCAGAGATTGAAAACCACATCTTCATCATGCTAACCACATCACAGCGCAGAGAGCTGATTTCACTGCCATTATGAAGAAGGAATGGGGGAGGACATCCTGACAAGGCACCTCAGCGAGGGCAGCAATTTTGTCTAGTTCAAGCTAATTATTACCCACCAAGTAGTACCTAACAGACCTGAGTCAAACACCTTCTACGTGGAATGACTACCTGTACAATACAGGCTGGTTTTAGAGCTGTCCTGCAAGGGAGTAAAAGGAGAAGATGCACCTCAGACTGCCCTTCACCATCCCTGAGTTGCACTCTCTCCTGGGACTTTTAACTCTCATTAAAAAGGAGAGGAGAAGTACCTTGTGACCTTACTCAGGATTTGAAGCCTGCACTAAGTTTCAAGAAGCTATTATATTTTTCTGTACATCACCTTTGCCTACACTTACTATGAGGACATGACATGAATTTATAATAAGCTGAGATGAAGCACACATCTGTCTTGTCTTACTGTTTTTGGCTCTTCTGGGGCTTCTATTTATCACCTTAATGTTGCTTTCAGAGTGATGCATACATAGATATCAGTAGAGAAATCAAGTTCCACAGGTTATCCAGTGATGTTATCCAACACCTTAAACTATAATTTATAAATGGCAATGCTGGAAGGGCTGGAAGGCCAGAGCATTAACCTACTGCAATTCCAGCCCAGCCAACACACGAGTCTGTACAGTTGAAATATACCTTTATTAGACTTTCTCACTAATATTAATATCACTTCAAATTTGGCAGGTGCACAGGCTACCCACATCTTTCAGAGCAACCCAGCCCCAGGCACCAAAGCCTCGTGGAACAAAGTGCTGGAACAATTGCTCTGCTGTGTATTACAGGGATCCTACCAGACTAAAAGGCATATTCCTAAGCAGAAAAGGACCTTCAGTTCTAGTAGATGAAGGGACTGCTGAGGTCATCTGAGAGTAAGATGAAACTACAAGAATGAAATGCTCCTAACAAAGCATTTCATTCAGCTTCCCAATGCTGAAAAGCCCCACTTGCTCTCATATCTACCCAGCTGAGCCCAACGGTACAAAACAATCCCAGCTTTAAAGGACACGTACATGGTGGTCGTTTTCCCAGCTCCATTGTGTCCCAGCAGGGAAGTTATATTCCCTTCATAGAAGTTGAGGCTTAAGTTGTCCACCGCAGCTTTGGATCCATACACTTTTGTGATGCCATGGAGGGAGACTCCCAAGGTGAGATCAGTGGGTTCTGGCTCCAGATGAGGTGGGGGGGCACCTTCAAAACCAAAGGGAAGGGTTAGATGACAGTTACCTTTTTTCAGGTCAGAGATAAGCAAGGCTTTTGATAGCATACAATATAGCAGAAGCAGTTGACTCTCGATGAGGAACACAGGGAACATTTCATAGGATCTGAGACATTTTGAGCTCTCCCACATTTCTCCTTTTCACTCCTGCAACTTCTTATAATTTCTGACAAGAAGCATTAATCTCTCTCTTCTGAAAAGGTCTTACATTTAGATGTTTCAGAGCACCTGACTTCATCTACACTAAACAAGTATATGAAATTAGAGGAAATACAGCAAAGCTATTGAGTTACCTTCTGTTAGGCAGAACTGGAAAGTTTGTACGTGTGATCTCATAATATTTTATAGGCTAAATATTTAAAGAAATGGACAAAGCAGCAGACATTCCTCTTGCCAAGGGGAATTCTGTATTTGCTTTCACAAACAAAAATGTATTTCTACACAGAGCACTGTAGGGTGAGGTATATGAACCCAAGGTATCCTCTCAACTACAGTATACACACCTATGCATGTGAATGTCAGCACTGGATTTCCACATCGAATTGGAAGAAAAAACAATTTAAAAGCCAAATCTCCATTTGGGTAAGTAACAATTTTCAGTTTTCCCTGTGCTACAAAGTAAGGATTAACATAAAATTATGCTTTCTGAGCACGGTGCCCTTCTCAAATTTGGCTTTATTTACTTAAAACATATGTCAGTATCCACATACATATCTGATTGCTGGGGCTGGCTTCTTTCCTTAACACAAGCTTGCTGAAGATGAAGCCTCTTTGTTTCTCACTCCAGAAAGGGAGCCAGTTGTATTCAAGCCAGTAAGATGGAAGCAGTGGGAAATACCAGGGAGCAGCCATGCCGTATCTTCCTGCAGGAAGAAGAGGAAGCTCATTCAGGCATCTGTTTCTGCAGGAAGCACCACTATTGGACTACACTCCAAACAACAAAAACGAACTCCAAGGAGATCTCTCCTCTCTTGATATGCTTCATGTACTACTGATACTTGGAAGGGATTTTCCCCTAATTGGCACAATAGGAAGCATTTGCTCATTTGTTATTCTGAGTATCTTTCTAGCCAGAGGGCTGGAGTACTTTACATTTTCCACTGGGTAGATTTCTGTGTGCCAGCGGACTGCTTCATTAGGTGGGGAAGAAAAGCAAAAGACAAATGTACTGTCTCTTGCCCAAGGCAGGAATTACTTTTTGAAATCGGATGATATAAGTAACGTAACACAAAATCACTCAACTGACAAATGCTGGCTAACATGCTCTGTTCTCATTTTCACCAACCAGACAGCAATCATATTCTCCTGTGTCCTTGGCTTCAGCTTCTTCAGAGGTTCCACCTACCCACATGATGAGCAGAAGGAACCCTAGTCCTCTCTTAACCCAGCATCGTTAATACTCTCAACACATCCTCCAAGAAATGGCTTCACTGTTCTAGGAACAGGGGTGCCCTGCATGTGCCTGAGTGCCTGGATCATGGAATCAGTCAGTGTTGTACTACTCACTGTTTTCCAAAGGAAACAATACATCAACAGCCTCAGTGCTTCACATCCTTACCTGGGAATACATTTCTTATATACCATCCCAGGATGAAGTAAATGAGAGAGTCAATCAGAATGAGCCAGCACATCCAGCCAAAGGATGTGTTGTCTCCAATCATTGGAGATTTATACATGTTGTCCCACTGCAGACCTGCAGAAAGGAGTTTAGAAGCACAAGAGAGTCCGTATGAGTTAAAGGAATGTCACAACCATGGAAGCTCCAAGCGTATTTTTCTTCTCAATAAACATACCTATGCCCTGTGCCTCATAGCGAGCAATGTACTGACTTGCATAACTGAATGCAGTTGGAGACAACAGGCTCTGTGGAATAAACAAAATTGAAAACAAAGAATTTGTTAATTAGTCTCAAAGAGATTTCCAGTCAGACAACCCATCAGATACCTCCCCAGCTTGGTGCACTAGCTGGAAAAACGAGTAAGATTTTTTCCAGCAGACACAAAGAGCAGTGGACCAAGCTTCGGATGGGCAGAACTTCTGATGGTGGGCTGTAATATCCCCTTAGAGTCTTTCTTCCTTTTGCTTCCACTCCCAGTATCCTACTTTATCCCTCATCCAGGGATTTAATTTAGGCTTTTGAAATAAAGTAGTGATATAAAATTACCTGACATGGCTAATGAATTTACTACTTGACTTAAAAGGTGTCCTTTCCCAGATTCGGTGAACTTGAAAACAAATGTGACTTCTGGTACTTAATACCTATTTCCACCCTTGGGAAGTGACAAAGCTTTCTCTCTTTTTCCATGGCTACAAATTTGAGGCACAACAACTAAGGAATGAACGGAGCCAGCCTTCCCTCATAGTCCTGCGACTTTAACTCCTTACTGTCTAGCCTTCCTCCTCATTATGGTTGAAGGTAAGCTATTTTTTGCTTTGCAATTTGAGAGGGTAAAATGCATAGCTCACACTACTCTGATTCAGCTGGCAGTGCTTACTCACTAAAACACCACAAGTTTTGCTTTCAGTGAAGGGATACAGGTCTCCCCCTACCAGGCTACAGCCAGCTCTCTCGTTATGTGATGCAGCATGGATCAGCACCCACTGGTGGAATTGAGAATGGCTACAAACACGTATATTGGTGACACGAACCTTAAGAGGAGCTGAAGTGTGTTGAAGGTGAATGTTTGTTTGCTTCCACACACATAATCCCTGTTATTGAAGAGCAGAACTTACCAGTAGGCTTTTCACAGAGAAGCTCAAGTGATTTTCAATGACAAGCAATACAATGAAGGGGAAGAAAGTGAGGATGTACACCAGACTGCCCACCAACGCTGCGATGTTGGTGTTGTTGAAGAAAACACTGATGAAGTAGCTCATGGCTATGATGGACAAGCTGTAGTCCATAAGGTACAGGAACAGGAGCGCTGTATTTGATTTGGGGAGGATGTCACCCACTTTTAGGACAATGATGAGGAAGGTGACTGTGATTAGAAGGAAGATGGCACACTCTATGAACCAGGCGATGAAATGGCTGCTTGCATTAACACCCATCATCTTCATGTACTACAGAGAGAAAGCAAAGCAACAGGAATTACAAATTATAACTGTTCACTAAGAGATCTTTCATTTTTCTTTTTTTCAGTGTCTGGATAGGGCACACAAACAAAATATGCTCGCTCTTATTTTGACATACTGCCAGGTTGATAAAAGAGAGAAAACCACGCGCTCACATTTCTGGAATGCCCTTGGTTTGCAAGGAGCCCGTTGTAAAGCAACAGCACAGGCAGGATCTGCAAACATCGTGTGACATAACCCACAAGTTTCAAAGCAGATGCTGGACTTACATTTGCTACTTTTCTAAAGCATGTTGGGTACTTTATTTGTTTTAGATAACACTGTTCAACTCAGTGGCCTGAGTGTAAATACTCTCAGCAGGTGAACCACTTCACATACATCCCCCCCAGCAACAAATACTGGATACGCTTGAATATTTATATGGAAGTAATATTAATCTATATTAGCTGATGATCAAGTCACAAGTCATACAGAACTGTGAACTTGCCTTGCCAAATCCAAAAGAAATGAGAGATGCTGGTGTCTTGTTGCAGATTACATAGCTGAAAGATTACTGACACCCTGGATCACAGAGGCAATGGAAGTGTGCTCCCAAAACAATATTCAGGGACTGTCAACTGGACACTCTTATTGTCAATCTCACTGCAGTTCATAGGGTGCTCTTTCTTGGAAATACTTCTTTGGTGATTCAGTGTTTGTTTCCATGGTACCAGAGAACAAACAAATCTGCCTGAGCTTTATTGCTTGCTGAAGCTTAGCCTCCCAGAAAGTTCTCTGATGTTCATGTCCATTGGCTGTGTTCACACTGAAAACGTGAGCCAATTTAATAAATTCCCTACGTCTCCATGTGATTTCTTTTCCAATAGGCAACCTGAACGAAGAACTTCATTTCAGAGAAGCTGATGTAATATGTAGCACCTTCTGAAATGTTAAGTATAATAACTCCAAGGATAGGAAGTAAGTCACTCTTCATGTCTTTGTTCCCAGTAGGTACGACTCAAAGTCAATTTTCAGGGGGCTTTACACCTTCAGAAAACTTGTAATTTTTTAAGGTCCCCATTTTTTCCAGTGTTCAGCACAGCAAAGCAACATTCTCACCACCTGAAGGGCAAATGCCCTGCATTTCTATAGTTTTGAAATTGCCTACAATGTCACAACTCGAATGCTGCAGGTCAAACAATAGGCATTTGCAATATTATTTTCCTTAATGTTTGTTTTGCTCCATTTAATGTCGCACATGAGACTTTCTACCCACTAATAAGGAAAACTTGTTTATAATTTTGCACGCCCCAGAGAGTTTCAGCATACCTCATAAAGCCTCAGATCTTTCTCTTGAACAAGAGTTTTAACAAAATCAGCTATAAACAGCACCCAGGCAGCCATCAGAGCAAATGGAAGAGAGTAGGTCACACTGGTTAAGAACCTGTAAAAGGCAAATGCAGGCTTCAGTTGAATGCAAAACGTTCTAAGGATTAATGCTTTATACAGAATGTCTTCTGTCAGGGAGTATAATTAACAATTACAAAAAAAGACTACTTTGCTGTTGCACTGAAGATTCTATTAAGAGACTCCTGCATTGTTAAAAAAAAAATAATATATATATATATATATGTATTAGAAAACATAGGGATTTTTCCAGCCTGGTTCTGAAACAGTTTTGCTCAGCAGCACCACTGGCAAGAGCAGAATCCAGCAGTGGCTTCTCCTGACTGGTGGGTGCATCCCACTTGCAAACAGCAGTCAGCCATCCTGTCAATGTCAATGGCCTGATTTTATTATCAGGCTGTACCTCCCTGTGCCTGAGGTTGGAATCAATGCTTCTCCTTGGGGTGTCTCTCCTTATTCCAGAGGATGGTTATAATAGAGCTGTATCTACCAAATAGGCTTCACAATTCTTGGTTCCTCGTCCTTTCAACCTTCCTCCCTTGCCAGTTGTGCGCTGAGAGAAGGTGCAACAGTGGCCAAAAGTAAACTCCTCCTTTTGTGATGGAAAGCAACTTCCTATTGTAGGAGATTCACTCATTGCATCTACAGGGTTTATGCTTTCCTCCCTTATTTCTAAAGCTGGCTTAAAAAAAAACCAACAGCATAATTCTTAGGAAAAGTTTAATGTACGACAGCAGTAGGAAACCAACATGATTGGTTTTCTAACTACATTTTTAACTCATAATGTCAAAAAGTTTCCAAAACTCAGCACTTTCAAGAAATTCTTCTTCCTTCTGTGCAAACAAGGTCATAATATTTATATTACAGAACAACGAAAAGGCATTTCAGTCTACCATTTCTCTCTTCTTTCTTACCTTGTTGTTCTGGTTCTTCTGTTGTCGTTGTTGAGGAAGGGCTTTTTTTGTTTCGTTTGCTTTTTGTTTGGTTGTTTTTCATTATCTGCTTTGTGCATGATCCCTAGGCCATTAAAAATCCAGTATTCCTATACCTTCAGTGAGGTGGTATATAAGTTCACTCCATTTCTCTACAGGATTGTAACTATGTGATAACAATCAGCAGACAGCCATTTTCTGATGACTTTTACTGGATGGAAATAGGAAGCCTTTAGGTATTTTAATAATTGAGCATCTCATGACCCTCTGAACCCAGGGTGGGGAGGGAAACTCAAAGGCAAGCTGTTTTCTCAGCAGCCCAAGAAAAAGCAAAAGCACAGATAACTGTAGTTAAGTGCCTCCAGCAGCCAGTTAATCATTGTGCAAAACTATCTCACAGCAATAACCCACACATTTGCTGGAAGCTGACACCTGGTTTGAATGCTCACCTGCTTGCATACTTGCAGGCACTTTGCATGTGTTTATGTTAAGGAAAGATGATGAGTTTCCAGCTGTCAAGTGACAGGCTGACACGGGATTTTAATAGGTCTGTTGTAGCTCCCAGATCATCTTTTAGCTCATGCAGTAGGTATGCAAAGCTCCTGTGGCCATTCTGTACTCTTGGTGTAAGAAAGACTCTTGTATTGTGGATTGACTGCCCAGCTCACTAATATTACTTGCTGAACATCCTTCGGAGCCTGCTGATGAACATGAAATCATTTTCCTATATGTTTTCCACTCTGCTTGGCCACCAGCTGTGGTCAGGGCAATAACTCTGAGCATGTACCGTGATGCCAGCTTTCCAACACCAACCAAAATTTCCTTGCCAGAGGGACCAGTGCTCAGCTGTGAGAGATTGGCTTCTCTCTGTTGCAGTTGGCAGAGACATGGTTTATATTAGCTTCAGATCTGGCTCAAGATGAGTGGAAAGGAAGATGATCCAATACTTTTTGATCTGTTTTACCATTCAAAACTTATTTTGGTCCATACACAGTTCATGCTGCACTGCTCGGTATAACAGGCTGTTAATTCTAACAACTTGGCTCATCAAAAGCTATTCTGTCCTCCCTCATTACAGTGGCAATGAATGGTACAATTTCACACTCTTATCCTTCTTAAAGCATCTGTGAGAGAGAGACACCTGTATGGAGAACTATTCACTATACACTGCACATTAGCTGGAATCAGTGGAATGAATAACAAACGGAACAGCTGGATAGCAATCTGTAGGAACAAAGCTCATAAACCTAGGGGTTTTCTTTGCCCAATAAATATATTTTCTAAGTTCTGCTGCACTATCTGCATGTAAACACCTGCAGAACAAGCCAAGGCTCGTATTTAACCCAATTCCTGCCAAACCCAGTCTCATTTCTACCTTTCATAGTAAATGAGGGACAGCAAATTTTACAGGAAGATGGAAACCCCACAAACTTACATATCCTTATTGTAGCAGGGGTAAGGCATGGCCTGGACTTGAACAGCTATTTCCTCTAGCTTCTTGCCAGTCTGCAGCTGAATAATGGCTCTTTCAATGCTGTCCTGGATATAGATAAATGCCCGGCTGTAGATCTGGCTCTGTGAGGTGGAGTTGTGTGGTCCCACAGTCCAGATGCGCTCCCTGATCCTGTTGGTGGTCTGTGTGATCCTGCTGCTCATTCTGATGGTGTAGTTGAGCACAGGAGGGAGGGCCAAAGCCCCATGGGCTGGGCTGCTCCAGCTTGATGGCAGCCTGAAAATGATACCTTGGGAAAGGAAGAAAAGGTTTTTCTTCAGAGTTGACAGAGTAGGAGCAGTACACACAAATACACAGGAACTTCTCATCTTTATAAGTCTTGTCTACATTACAGTCCATCATCCCATTTCTTTGCAGCACAAATAATGCTCAGGTGGGTAGGCTGCTAACGTTCACTACCAAGGGTCTGGTACTGGAAATCAAGTGTCACTGCAGCTCCTCATACTTCCAAATGTGGTTGATGATTCTGGGTGCTAAATATACTCCAACCTCCACGTCTTTTCCTATTGAGTGTTCAAAAATGAAAGGCTCTCAAAATAACCAGCTCTGTTGGAAAAACCCTGCTGTTAACATGGACTGTCACAAATCTGTCGGGTTTGTCCCTTGCATGTGGTCACACACCTCTCATGAACCTGCCCATGTGTACTCCATCAACAGAGCTCACATACTGGTGCTGTAAAATACACACCTCAGGAGTGTGGCATTGACAACAGTTCATGGCCTGTACACATATTTATAGGCACAAACTCCTGCAAAGCTGAGAAATGTGCGGGAATATAAAGGCTTTGCAAAGTCCTGGTAGGAAACTGCATGCTGTAAATACAATGGAATGGAGGACAAACATAGAGGAAAACTTTTTTTTTTTATGGCAATAGACAAATATTATCAGGGCCTGAAGTACAAAGAATAGAAAAAGTTTATACCTACATTTAATTATGAGGTATAAGACCAACGGGTCACAGGGCTTACAAGGAAATCCTAACTGTGGAGTTCTGTGCATTCTTCAGTAACTGAGACACATCCCATCACTCAAATTAGTCTAAGTTCTTATTCCCTGCAGTCTGATTTGAAGCTGCAATCCAATCCCACAAATGTTAAAGGTAAGACTGGAAAGATTCATGATGATACTGCAGTGTAGGAATGGAGCATCTTAAGATCTTTACAATCATCTAATACATTCAACTGTCTCTTTTTCAATAAAGCATCTTTTCCCTTTGGAGGCCTGAGAGAAGGCAACTCTGTCACAAAGACCTCCAAAGGGCAGAGGAACTTATTTCCACTGAGAATTAACCCAGAGAAAATGCCAGATGACCAAAGGATCTCTTTACAGACAAGAGAAGGCATATATAGCAGCACAAAAACACTGCCACAAGGAAGTCCGAGTGTGCAGTTCCCAGATCTCTTGGTGAAAATTGACTGCTGTGGTGGGAGCTGTGCCCACAACAGTCACAGGTGGAAAGCCAAGCCTTATAGGCTGTGCTTGCACTCTGTACCAAGCTAACTTCAATTGACAGGGGGACTTGAGACTCTGACACATACTTGCAAACAGTTCGTTCTTTAGGAAGAGTTCTTTAGCCATCTTTTCCATTTCCTCCAAGGTTTTGACTGCCCGAATGCGATTAAATGAGACACAGGAGGACACATTCACTGCCAGGGTAGCTAATGTGTTCAGCTGATCAACAATGTCAGTGTTGTTCTGTAATTCCAGCCGAATATCATCTAGAAAAAAAAACACAAGACCAACAGTATCAGTATACATAGCAAAAAAAAAAATACCCATCAAATCATCCTGCTCTTTATACCAGCAATGACACCAGGAAGGAAGAAAAGACATCACACGTAACATTAACAAACATATTTCTGCACTTTGTGGTGCAACGAAGGCATGTTGTTGACCCAATTTTTATGTTAATCATTTGTAATGTGCTCATGAGTTTGCCTTTGGGAGGATGCCAGCAACGTGATGTGACAGCCATCCCAAATCAGAAGCTGCCACTAACCTGCTGGGTTTCTAGACCTGTGTATGATGCTCACTATTCAATCTGCATCTTCTGGCTTTTGATGTAATCAACACGTCTGCTGAGCTGCTCTGTCTCAGGGGAGAATGGGCACTGTCCAAGCATATCAAGGGAAAGTTATGTCTGTTGTGCTGATGTGTGTACTAAACCTGATAATGAAGTTTAATAAAGATACTGCTGTTTGCTGGCTGTTTTAAAAGGTGACTGCATAATGCAGTGTGACTAATATGGAACAGCTGCTGCAGGCATGATGATTTTATGGGGAGTTCAGATAGGAGATGCTACTCATAAAATAACACAGGGGTCATCATGAACAGCATGTTCACACTGTTTGGACTTTAACAGTCTAAAGCTACTTTTGGCTGATGCTAGGCTTTTCTGGCATAGATCAGATTCATGTTGAGATGTAGGGACACGCTGAAAAGTGAGCAGGGAGTAATGAGACCAGCCAGGAGGGGCTGTGAGCACCATGCTGTGCACCCACAGGTAACACATCCACCAGTGCCGGTAGCACTGATTCCCACAGTGCAGATCAGCGACTCTCAACTTGAAAGACCACTCAAGACCATCAGAAAACAGCAAATGGCATCAGGGGATATTTTATAATGATGCCTCTGTCTTCACCAGCATGGGCTCATCCCTTCCTTCCCTGCTCTGGAAAACTTTTAAGCGAAACCCTGGTGCGATGCAAGTGAGCTCAGCATTTCCCATCAGAGCCCCAGGTAGCTCATTTGAAGTGATAATTATGGCTAAACAGTGTCCTCCAGTGGCCACAATCAGCTGCAGAGATTCCCATTCTACCATTCCTATGGCACTCAGGAGAAACATCTCACACAAGCCCTTTGCTTTCTAAGAGTCTTTTCCCATAGACAAACCACGAGGTTTAGAATCACATCTGAGACTGTCTCATCTCCAATTCTGGCCAGAGCAGAGCAGGACTGGAGGATGACTACAGTTTGATGACCCTGGAGCTCCCAGACCTTAAGTACAAACACGAAGGTAGGGTACATGAAACAACTTACCAAGCTTGTTTATTTGACTCAGCAATTCAACTGCATCCAAATCCACCATCATCTTGATAAAAACCTGCACAAAGGGATTCTGTAGGGCATTCTGTCAACAAGCAAAGAGAAAGAGAATTTGACCACAGATCCCATAAGCTTATTTGGTGTACTGCTAAAATACGACAGACCAGCTGTCTTCAGTAGCATTTGTACTTCCCTGCTCCTTTCTTGACTTTCTGTTCTTCACTCTGTGTTTCAAGATGGGAAAGCATTAGCAATGGAAAGAAGAAAGATGATGTTTGCTGGAGTCAGCAGAAGATGCCTCTCGACTCTCCACCAGGCATTGGACTCCCAGGGAAAAAAAATCATGCATACTCTTTAATACGAGGACTAAAAGCGCTGAAATTAACTGAAAGTTAATTTCATTCATGTGTGTTTTAAATCCTGTGAAAACAGCCAGCACAGAATGGGTAGGGTCCAAAATTTAGTTTGGAGACCGTCTGTCAGTTTTTTATTTGGCTGAATATTCCATTATTCCACCACTGAGTGCAGTCAGCAGAGAATATTTCATTTCACTCTTGCATTTTCTGCTCTGGATTTTCTCTCTGTGCCATGGAAATTACAGGGAATTCCCAGCCACTGAAATTATTTTTGAATGCTTTAGGAGTTCAAGAAATCTCATTTATATAGTTTTTAAGAAAAGGTGGCAATTTGTACCGTGGCAAACATGATGCATGTATGTAAAGCATTACAGCCTGCTGCTTCTTGCATCCAACCAAGGCTCTTTGGGAGGGGAAAAAGAAGTGTTATTGACATTCACTGAGGTACAAAGACATCTCCAAGCTCTTGTGTGTGCACCCAGTGCTACATGCTCATTATAGATACTGTTTCATTTTCTGAAAAAGTCATTTCTTGCCTGGTCTTGGTTGGCTGGATCACTCCATCAAGCAGAAAGTTAATTTACAAACTGAAGAGCATTCCCCGCTCATCTTAGCCTTCCAGCAGCCCTCAGCAAGGCCACTGTCAGAGAACAGTGTGTGTATTACAAACATCATTTCATAAAAGGGATCTGCATGGAAAGGTGCATCAGGAGTATTTCTGTGATGGGAACAGGCAGACAGGCAAGGAAACTGAAGTGTGGGCCAGAAGCATGAGCTCAGGTGTCCCTGTCTCCAACCCCTTTTTTTTTCTTAGTGAAAGGAACAGTCCCTGTGGGACAACAGGACACACAGTGAGATTTCATACCTTGATCATTGGAACTGTCTGGTTCAACTTAGTCAGTGAATTCATGATGGCAGGAGACTTATCCAGCCATTCCTGTGACTTCAGGGCTAGATCAGCCATCTGCTTCAAGGTGGCATTAGACTGTAAAAAAAAGTCCACAACAACATGTAAGTTTCAATTTATTAATTACTTACGTGAAAGCTTTAAAAAATAATTGAGGAAATTAAATAGCTGAGATTCAGTTTGGCTCCTTTAGGGTTTACTTTGCACTCTATCACTGGTTGGCAAAATTCTTCTTCAAGTAAGTACTCAAACATGCAGTTTCATACATGGCTTTTGGAGCATGCCTTGGGTATCAGCTTTACTCCTATCAATGGCCTGTTTGCCACTACTGGTGAGCATTCTGGGACATATCTCTGTTACTAGCTGAAAATATGGAGGTAAAGCCTCATGAACTGAAAGCCTTAAAAAAAAAAGGTGTACTATAAATATTAGGGCAATTTTTTTTTTGAGGTAACGTTCATTTAAAGGTAAAGGGTGACACATACAACCAGCAATGGAACTACAAACAAAATAATCTGACTAATACTCCTAACGGTCAGAAAATAGAGTTGTGCTTCTGAAGCCTGTGCTAGGCACAAATTAAAATCCATTTGAGAGGGCATATCTTCATGTAGTTTAAGCAGAGCCATACCTTTCCCATGATTGCTCGAGTTTCTGGCGTGTCTGGTGTATAAAGGATCTTCCCAAACACCATTGGTTTTAAAAAAGACCAAATTAAAGCTCCAGTTGGGGTCTTGACCAGATCCAGGTAGAAAGATAAACAAAATGGTGCTGCAAGGGGAGAAAAACAAATAAACTGCACTGAGCACAAGTAGACCAGATAACACAGTGGCCCAATTTGTTGCTATGTCCAGCAAATGACTTCAGGCCTCTCTTCACTGACTGATATAATGTGTCTTGACAAAAGCAATCCATCCCCAAAATCTCCTGTTGCTGAACTCAGGACAACAAGAGTCTCATTGTTTGAGCCAGGATTCTCTGCTTGGAGGTTAAATGGAGTTTTGTGAACTCAGTGGAGCTAATAATGTCAGCACAGTTGGAAAAACTGCGTATCAAGAAAACACAGTGACCTGTCAAGTCCCAGAACTGTACCATCAACAAATGGGAAGTGCTGCAGTATCAAACACTTCTGGGCTGTGCAGGCTGCTTGCCTTTTAATGCTTACAAAAATAAGCCACCAGTAATTTGGGCGAGGCAGATCTTGAACTGGCATAAACCATGAGCCCTCCAGAGAAACATCAAGATCTGTGATGGATCTCTTTGGAAATGTGAGAGTTTGGCTTTGAAACGTATTTAATATATGAAAAAGCCAGACTTACTGGAATCGTGAGGAATCCCATATTTCCTCATCATCTTTTGGACGTGGACATCCTCCACAGAACTGTTTCTTACAGGGTCTCCAAAATCAGGAAGCAAGGACTCAAAGAACAGGGGTGTGATCTCCTGGTTGCAGAGAACTTTGGACAGGGATTTAAATGTGCCATGTGTTACCCTAGTGTTGTTTGGTTTAAGTAGCACCTGCAGAAAAGGGGGAAAAAAAGCAGCACACAGATACATCATGTATGCTACAAGCATCCTGTTCTGAAGAGGAAAAAGAGAGAACAGAAATAGAAGGCAAGGATTAAATACTTTTACACTGATTTATTACAAGAAGTTTGTTTGTTCAAAATGAGAGGCTTTCCTGGGAAAGCATGCTTTTATGGCTAACCTCTGCTATGTTAGAGGTCGAGATACCATTTCAAGGTATGGGAGTCAATGTGGGAGCTGCCCATAACGTGCAGCAAGGTTATCCAAGACTGTAGATCAGAAAGGGACGGGTTCCAATGGTTTTAGTGCAACCTGCAGTTATTGCAGCTGGTGCAGCAGGGTTTGTACTGAATATTTTGGGCAGTCTTGAGGCTGCAGACATGGTGTAAAGCACACCAAAGCTGGAACAAATTTTTGCTCTTGACTTAAATGGTTTTGGACGGTTTGTAGTGAGAAGTTCTCCAAGTTTTCACAATCTGATTTCTCCTAGTGCACCTGAGTATTCTGGGGGAAGTCTACCATCTTTTGAGACAGTTCACAGAATGAGAGAATCATAGGGGATGGAAGGGACCTCTGTAAATCATCTAGTCAAATCCCAGTGATAAAGCAGGCTCCCTAGAGTAGGTTGCATAGGAAAGCATCCAGATGGGTTTTGAATATCTCCGGAGAAGTGGACTCCAAACCTCTCTGAGCAGCTTGTTCCAGTGCTCCACCACCAGTTGCTCATTCTCTGCATTTTCGTTCCTAGTGTTCCTTCCTCCAACCACACTGAACACATACCTGTCCCAGTGTACCAAATCTACGTGCTCCCATTAAGGCAATGAGAGAGTTTAGTAGAGATTAGTCAAAAGACTTTACTGCTTTAAAAGAGGAAGCAGTAATCCAGGGTTTAGTGCACCTTCAGCTTCTCAGGTAAGAAATTCCAGTGGAAACTGTTCCAATGGCATTTTACCTCCGAAGCAAATGCAGACTACACATACCTTACTCAGTGGCATCCTTCTAGACTGCCGAAGCTTTTTCAGTGAATGAATGGCTTGTAGCAATGGATCAACATCAGACTCTACTTGGTGTTGGAAATATTTCATTTTTGTCAGAAGGTTTAATATCTTGTCCACAGGTTTCTGAATTTCCTTAGGGAATAACATCTGCAAAAGGCAGGAAGGAAATCAATTACGATTTGCACGAATGCGTGTACACACACAGGCACACGCCCATGATCTGCTAATTCCAAGATGGAAACTGTGGGATGTTCAAAACTGTCAGGAGGCTTAGGGAGTGGATGTCCCATGGGAAATAAATGGGATTAGTATTTCTAAATCCCCATGTGCTTTTGCAACCCTCTCCCATACACATTACACATCCTAAACGGCACAAGTTTCCAAACACCTGCAGTTGGGAAACGTGTATCAGGTATTCACTGGGATGTAATCCAAGTTTCTAAGAGGTAGCATTTTGCACAACACAGATGTCAAGCGCTACAAGTGACTTCTGACCTCAGCCAAATTGATCAGCATTCTCAGTAACTTTCCCCCCCCAGGATCACTTCTGTAGCATTTTAAAATGTGCATTCAATACACAGTACTCACTGAACAGTGCTTTTACTTGCTGTCTATGTACTTGCACGAGTGGGATATTTGAATCATTTAATAATTTGGCAATGACAACTGGATTGGGAAAATATATTTTACGGGACATTTTTGAAGGCTTTCCTTTTCAAGGGATAAAAATAATTAACCCAATGCCTTATTTTGGGAAGCCTGAATTCAGCTGGGAATGTTCAATAGGTTGTGACAGCACACAGGTGATACTAGCAGATAGGGAAGCATTTAGAGTAAGTCCAGTGCCTTTAAATTAGGTTTGCTGGTTTACACCATCTGGGATCTTCATTTCTAACCACACGGTCACAGCACGGATATGCAATAAAGATTACTGCATGAGCAAAGCCTGATCTTTGGCTTGTGTAAAACAGCATTGCTTCTGGCCACTGCAGTCCTTTCAGCCATTACATGCAGCAAAGACTACAGGAAGCACTCTTCAAATCCAATACTAACCTTGTATAAGAAATTGTAAATGTCTAAGTGTCGTAACAGGGTGACCCCAAGGATGTATGTCTCACGAGTCCTCTCAGAAAGAGAGAGATTGCAGAACTCTTCTGCTACTGTTTGCAGATGTGGGTCAGAAGGATGGACGCTGCAAGACTCCAGCTGGAGAATCTGAGAAATTAACTGTGTACAAAGGAAGAAAAGATTTGTTAAGGGCTGGACTACTTGCTCCACTATACATTGTTTAATCTTGCCTAGCTGTTGTTCCATCCACAATGATGGATGGAATTTCAGAAAATGCCAGAAAATGCCTACTCCTACTCCAGAGGAAAAATCCTAAGGATTGTGTTTTACTGCTCAGCTTGCACGGTAGCAAAAGCTTTTGTGGTTTCTATCGACTGGTGTATATGAAATCTGGAATAGAGCACAGTCTTTAGGGTTCAGTCCAGACAAGATAGCTGGGAAGAGGAAAAGCATCTGGAGCTCTGTTTGCACATGAGGCTGAGGAAGGCAAGCTCATCTCTCATTACAGGAAGCTATTTTGGACCCCTGACTAATTTTCAAATCCTGATTAGAACTGTGCTTTTCCATCTAGACACCAACAACTTTCAGCACTGAGAACCCCAACAACAACCCTGCTAGGTCATTAATCTGTTACAGTGACCTGTGCCCTTGCTACAGACTGGAGCAATCATGCATCAAGCAGTCCATAGCAGTAGCAGCTTACCAGCTATTGGTGACAGCCAAAGCCACTGTATGGCTCTTGTTCTCTAATGGTTGAACTGGCATCAATGACTGCATTTCTGATGGCTATTTTGACTTATAACATGCTATGCTTGTCTGTCCCTGTGGGACTGTTGACTTCTCCCTGTGCAGTCGACAGGATCTCTCACTACAATAACAACAAACTTACGTGACTGCTGTTTTCTGGGAGAGATGCTTCCAGAAGAGCATCAATACTGGTTGTGGACATTCTTGTTGTGTTTTTGAGATCCTCTTTGAGCTGGTCCACATTTTTAAACACGTCTCTTAACTTTTCTGTGAACGAAATCAAACAGAAATAGATACAACAGCTCTCTACAGATGTACAGTGACCTCAAGAGCACAGAGAGGACTTCACTTTTGGTAGAAGTACAAGTGCCGTATGTCATTGCTGACTGAAACAAAAACAAAACAAAACCTTGTAAAAGAGTCCTATTTCCTTAGTTTAACAGTCCTATTGTCATCATGAGCTAAAGATGACAGGTTTAGTGAAAGCAAAGTTTGCCCAAATACAAAGACTTGGGACTTTCAGTGCTCAGAGTCTTGGGGCAGTACAGAAAAAACAAGGCTGGTCTAGCACTGTCTCTAGAATTATCCTAGACAAAGGATCTCACAGACATGGGACATGGTGCTCGATTACTTCATTAATTTAATCATAATAATCAGGATTAATTTCTTAAGTTAGCAGCTGAACACGTCTTTAGATTTCCAGTAGAAGCTATGATGCCAATGATGATGTTCACAAATGAACACTGTAAAGAAAATACAGAAAACTACCTGGAATGCTGGAATCTGTTAAATTCTCTGTGATGTTCAACATGGAGTTCAAAGCTGTCATATACTGAGGAATCTCTTGAAAGAAAGCAATTTCTGGTACGTTTTCTTGAAACCTAAATTGGAAAAAAAAAAAACAACAACACAAATTTGGGAATATGAGAAGAAGATAAGAAGCCTCTGTATGGTTTCATAAATAGAATACTATGGCAGCCTAACTTGCAGGAAGAGCCTCACCACTTCATTTGTGCCTGGACATCTGTGGCATCTCCAATCAGCACGTTCCAAAGCTCTTTGGAGATCCTTCTGCCATTCAGTACATTGGTCACAACTTGGCTGCTCAGCTCAATAGCACGGAGAAGCTGTTCATGAGATTGATTCTGATCACAGAGTTCTCCAAAGCTAACATCAGGGAGATGGCAAATATGCTGTATTGACTTAAAGCTCTCGTAGTCACAAAGAAGTGCTGTCAGATTCTGGAGCAGAGATATCTTTAAAGAACATTTTGAAAAGGAAGACAAATGCACAAGTTAGAAGACAGAATTTTAAAAAGGTAAGTTTTAAAGAGCTGTTCCTAGCTGTTCCTTTGCATTTTTCTGTAGGGTTATTAGTATTTTTTAATTATATTTTTATTTAATCCAAAAGGTCTCAAATAGAACATCTCACACCAATTATTCCTCTTGTGATAGGTGTAGCTACTTGGATATCAGCTGGTCATCCCTACAATAGCACATGAAAACAGCATGTGAACAGGAACCAGCTAAAAGTCAGGACTTCTGCCTCTGCCAGCTGGATGTGCAAATTCCAATCCTTTGTCTAGTCTTCTACCATGGGTTTTCTTCCTTTCTGACATCCCTCTTTACATTAACAGTCATAGCAAGAACTGCCATCTGTTGTATGCCTGATGTTACAGAGAAGCTCATCATATTGTTTTTATAGATATAATAAGCAGTAACAGCACGGAAAACTTATCCTTTTTAAAATATGCTTTTTTGTCTTTTTTCTATTTCTCTTCTTGAGAGAGACAGAATAAAGTGCATACATGCTACAGCTCAAACATATATGTATGATGTGAGAAGTATTTTATTCAAGTGAGGCACTGCTAAATCCAAAGCTGGCTAGGGAAATCCATAAATAAATATTGCTTAGGTGCTTGATCTCAGAAACTAATGCAGTGTTGTTAGGCATCTACCCTCTCAGAAAACTGGGTATACGCTGTGCATAGGACTTGTATAGCAATAAGTTCATCAGCCCAGGACTTTTAAATACAGGCAGAAGACAGTTTCCTTCCTAGCTTTTATCAGCTGTTCTGTGAAGACTTTTTTCATATGCGGTTTTCCAAAATTTCCATTTCACATTCATGTATCACTGCAGGATGTCCTTCAAGTCAGCATTTTAAGCAGACTCACTTTTAGCTTCAGGAGCTCTGGTATGGATGAACGTTCCTCAGAGGTATTATTTTGCATAAAACAGTTCTTTTTCAGATGAGTTTGCTTCAAGAGCAGCATGATGTTTTCTGTGGGAGGATGAAAACAAAGTTACTTGAAGCAAAAACACCAGAATTGCAGAAACTTCATAGATGGGGATATTGGCACTTTCATGCCAATGCCTACTGAGCACTGTTAACTTCTACAACATTCAATTGGCTCAGGACCTCTGAAATCACAGTCCGAGATCTGGATTGCAACCTGCTGATCCAGTTTGAGTAGGTGCTCAGCTCCTAAGGAAACACACCCCACACCATAAACAGGACTTCCAACAGTGTGCTTCAGAGCATGCTCAGCATCTCTATTCTGTCAGCAGATAAACCTCGGAGGTTTTACAATAAGCATATATCATGAATATCTACTTGGAATATCATGCTAGCTCTCAAAATAACTGCTGTCATCTTAAGGGTACATAAAGCTTGGAAGGGAAAATAGGTTTCTATTCATAAGGATTCGTTATCTGAGTGTCAGTAACCTGTCATCACACAGAGAACAGCACACGTGCCTTCTGTATAAAGCTGGATGGAAAACGCATCCACAACGTGACATAACTCAAACAAAGAGGAGGCTGGCTTCCCTAAGCCTCACAGCTGCAGTTAATTGCCAGCAGACGAAAACATGTAGCACTATTCCTTCCCACCATTACACAGAACCCTTTGAAAAGTCAGACACAAACATATTGCAGCTGAGGTCCCACAGCATTAATGGAATCATGATTACCTGTCAATTCGCTGTCTTCAACTTCAGTGGCATTTATTAAACACATCAGGTAAGGGTTATAGCTGTTATTCACTGTCACTTGTAAGATGGTGCTTTCAAATTCTAAAAACAGAAACCTGAAAAAATAAGGTAGGAATTTAAATCAGCTTCTCCTTCAGAAGCAAGGGATGTTAGCAAGCGACCTGTCAGCTGCACAGATGCTGCTCCTTGGCAGCTGTAAATAAGAATCCCAGATGAAGCCATGCATCTCTCACAACATTTCCTAAGCGGATACCCATCCTGTTTTATTTCATCCATTATTTCTGCCATTATCTCCCAAAGCTGTCATTCACTCTCAAACCATAAGTAAAAGAAAACATACTTGAAAGGTTCACTGTGGATGCAGTACTTAGGAAAGGCATGCTTACAGGAGGCTAAGAAACAAAAATATCACAAAAGAAGGGATATCACATAAGTCATATCACAAAAGAAGGGATTCCAAAGAGTTTACTGCTGGTGGGAAGCCTCCTACAGAATTCTACTTCCACTGTGAATTGAGACATATCAACACAGATGTTCTCTGAAAGCGCACTTTCAATTATATGCTCAGCTCAGACAGAAGTTTACTGATCTTTGATTTCACCCACATTACATCTGGTACCTTGAATTAAGGTGATTTCAGAACAAAATTGAACCACTGGAAGAAACTTTTTGTAATGCTGGAAGTAAATGAGAGCTGTGACTCACCAAAAAAAAACCCAAAAAGCATTAGTATCCAAAACCCAAACTCACCGTGTGATCAGAATGGTGGGTGACAGGGTTTGGTCACTTTGAGTCCAAGGCAGGGTCTTGTTGTACAGGGTTTCTGCCATATCAATGAAGTGATGAGTGACTATGTCAAACACAGCATCCAAAATAGTTTTATTGGAGAGAGAAGCTGAGCTGGAACTTGCAGGGAGTTCACTTAGCAGATCAGAGATGTTCAGCAGCTTAAGAACATAGTGAGCAGCTTCTATCATGTCTAGAGCTGACACATTGCTGGCAAAGTTGTTTGCCACTGCTTCCAGTAACTTTGCAAAGGCAGCCACTTCAGCTGGATTCCTTTCACTGTTCAGTGACCTGTCAACTACTTCCCAGATGTTTGAGAAATAGCTCAATTTGGTGAGGTTGTAAGAATATAGCAATCTCTGCAGCATGTTGTTCATGAGAAGCTCACTCTGTGCCATATTGAAGAGCACGGACAGGTTATTCCAGCCTGCAGAGATGTCAGAGAAATTGAGGGAATTGAGTTCTGTCT